TCAGCACTCACTCTCTCTTGACAGCAACCTGGAGCGAGAGCCGTCCAAACACACGCCCACAGTCTCTCGTTCACCTTTACACTCCTGCTCGTGGTTTCATTTGGGAATTCAGAGTGTTTCCACTGCACCGCAACAGGCTTTTAAAAAGGTATTATTTGTTTGACACCCTTCAATATCTCCCCTCACTTAACTCGACAATGCCCCCGGAAAGCAGGAATGCAACACTTTGGTAAAGGCAGCTTTATGGTGTAAACGTTTGTAGCATTTATGGGATATTATTGCCGATGTAGTGTCAACTGTTTGTGCAGTGTAAAGTTTGCTTCATACTAAATTACGAGCATGAACACAGCCTTCACAAAACAGCTTCTGTTTGATACGGGTGTCACAGATCAGATCATGCTGTTAAAGGGTCACATTTATTAGATTAAAGTCCTATAATAAGCTCAGAGTACGTACAAGAGGAAATATCTGGCTCTTGTGCTGCTAAATGTTCCACTATGTTCTCCAGTGGGACAATTACTTCAGAAGCTGCACAGCAATTCATCAGAACTTTGTTTACTGTGTGTGTGTGTGTGTGTGTGTGTGTGTGTGTGTGTGTGTGTGTGTGTGTGTGTGTGTGTGTGTGTGTGTGTGTGTGTGTGTGTGTGTGTGTGTGTGTGTGTGTGTGTGTGACACGGGTATGACTAGTTGACAGCTTATGAGTGTGTGTGTGACATGTGACGTACATGAGAGTTCGGACGAAAGAAGATCAGACCAGCAAGTTTTTCTGCAGACTCAGAGAGTTTTAGACAATGAGGCCGGGAATATACACACACACACACACACACACACACACACACACACACACACACACACACACACACACACACACACACACACACACACACACACACACACACACACACACACACACACACACACACACACACACACACACACACACACACACACACACACACACACACACACACACACACACACACACACACACACACCACACACACACACACACACACACACACACACACACACACACACACACACACACACACACACACACACACACACCAAAAACCCTCCATGTGACCTTAGAGGACAGACATCACTGTGATTGTCACTATTTTGTCAACTCATCACTTTCGGACAATGTAGCAGCACGCAATTGACACACACACACACACACACTTTGTTTGTTGCCAGCGGAAGGAAAATGTAGCGTGAAGACATTTTTGATTCAACGCTTTCCACTGATTCAATATATTCAAATAACATGAATGTGTATTGTACAGTATGCCTGTGAGTGAGAGCCTTTCACAAATCGAGTCAGATCCGAGTCGGCACGAACCCCACTGCAATACTCCAGTGTTTGAATAAAACATAAAGCAAGATGCCTTAATGGGAAGTCTCCAGAGAAGGTGAGCAGGCTTGTGTGTGTGTGTAGGTGCGTGGGCATGCACGCCTACGTGAGCTATAAAAGGGTGAAAGTCTCCATCTGGGTCACGTCACATGGGACATTGAGTAACATCGGACCGTGTTCTTTTTAACAATGAATGATGCTGGGCTATCTGGAGCTCCATTCACAGGTTCTTACAGGAAACGCTGAAAACAGAGAGCCTGACTTAATCAATCACCTTCTTGATAGAGTTTATGCCATTTGTTGATACTGCAAGTTCAATTTGAAGAAAGCCTACCTGCTTACTGATGAAAAAGGAATTAGCATATAACTGATCATAAAGAATTCAACAGGAAAATAATGGGGTGCTTTTAAACAGCCACAGAAAATGTAGTACATTTCTCTAAAGTTAGCAATGTTCAACAAAAATGGCTCTTTTTCACTTACTTTTGACAGTGAATGGAAATGGATGATTGCTATCGTGGTGTGGTGACTCACAACAACCTGCTCCTTAGTCTGAGCCACAGTTAACATCCTCTTTACCCAGCCTTTAGACATGATCTGATCATAATATTTCACATTGTAATTAAGTCAACTTTGACAACATGAACTATAGTGAAAGAGAAGGATGAAACATGTAACTAGCTTCTTGTTGAATCGCCCACTGACACTGATGCACACACGCCTCCACACACGCTAAACAAAGCTGCATTTCAGTCCTCCCAGTGGACTTTCACTAAATCGTGCAATTCAGAGGGAAAACGGCAACAAATGCTGCGTCAGCAAAACTCCTCGCTGCCTCCAACCCGTCAACAGCGGGTCCATATTTCACCACCAACTACTGTGTGTATTGTAAACACACACACACACACACACACACACACACACACACACACACACACACACACTAAAGCTCCGAGCAGAGGGTTCATTCAGTCCGCTTTTCTTTAATTAAAAGTGAAAGTGACAGCTACTGTAAATGGAGCTGCCTGCTATAAATCTATGAGTGTTGCTGCAGGATGCTGGTGGGAACTTAATGGTGTACAGTACATCCTGCTGCTCTTCTTTGCAATCCCACTGAGTGTGTGTGGGAGTGTGAGATTTTCTTCCAGAAGCTAATCGCGTCACATGACAAAGCGACACATGGAGAAGCCAGGTGTCTGAGCTACTGTTTGCAAACACTTGCATTTGGAAGGATTTACACAACATGTGGTTGAAAAACACCAGGGAATGTGGCTAAACACTGAGCCAGTTGAAATATGATATGATGGATTTGATGGCCAAACAGCAAGAATGGTGGTTAATAAAGTCTATTAAAGACACAAAAAAAGACCATAACAATTGATTCACAAAGGTATTTTTTTACTTGAATAGTAGATTCAATATTAATGGAATATCAAAACTGACTTTTATTGAAGCTCAATACCAGATCTCATGGTCTTGATCAGTAGATTTATCCATCACCAAACTTTAAGGTCATGTGACAACAACTATTTCAGCTTTATGGCCCGTGTTTCAAATACAAGACCTTGGAAAGTTTGCCGTTATATGTAGTTGATTTATTCTTTACTTAAAAGGGTGAACTGAAAACAACCCTGCAGCTCAGGGTCTGCCCGTTTCATGAGATTCCACCCAAGTTTTAAACTCTGAGTAAGAAGGTTAAGATCCCTGTTTTGTATCACGGGAGTAAACGCCTTCTCTCATAAATCCTGCGAGTTTAGCTGCAAGCCAATTCATCAAATAAGCAAAGAGGAATGAAAGCAGAAACAAAGAGCCCAGAGGACAGAAAAAACATCATGTGACACTTTTATAACTTGCATGCAGTGGCGTGTTGGCCGGCAGTGAATAGAGGCTGAGGAAACGTTGCGTTCTTGTGTTAGCAAATGATTCCTTTCACCTTTCGCCAACACATATTGATCGTGTTTCTTTCCACCTTTAATCTGCAAGATTAGGGGTTTGTGTTTGGAGCTGGAGTCTTACTGCTCAGGTGTTTTCCCAGAGATGACTTGTTGATCAGGGAACAAGGCATAGATCTACCTGTGTTGATAAAGTACAGCTTCCTTTTTCAGGAAATCAGCCACTCGTAAAATGTTTACATGTTGAATCATCACTACAGTATATCAGGCAGTCATGAGACGGAAAACAGACGGTATAATGTGTAAGAAAATGTCACCGATGTTATCTTATACTTGATATCTTCCCCACACTAACGTCTCTTACAGGTGGGTGCAACTTGGCTCTTAGTTTAAAACACAAACAACAATGATATAGACGTAGACAGCAGCTCAGAACCAGAGAGACTGTTGAGCACTCGGGGGGGAAGAGAAGGCAGCATTCATCACATTTCTGTGCTGACTGTGTGTGGATACTCAAATATGAACTCTATTGCCTCACTACATCTGTCAGCTATTTAAGGGTACAGTACATAAGGATAGTATTATGATGGTGATTGCAGTAAGAGATGGGTCACTGTATACGAATACTACAGCTACTATCATTATCGACTTGTCAATCAATGAGTTTGTCACCTAGTTGATGAATCAGTTGCTTGTACACAATGATAGGAAGTTTGGTGTATACATTTACTCATGAAAACATAATATCTGACTGCTATCCGACTTCCAAGCGAGGCCCGATGGCAAGGGGACTGCTGTTGCCCTCTAAAAACGGTGTTGAGGCTGCAGAGGCCAACTTGTGGACGCAATGTCAATATGCCAATAATGTCAACAATGTCCGTTTCCTGTTGCAATGCCAAAGTCAATTTCTGTTGTGCTATCATGGAGAGGATTAGGAAAGGAAACGGTTTGGTTTGGTTCAAACATTTAGTTGAATGTGTCACACCGTCTGGAGAGCATAAGAAGCTCTAGAGTAAGTTAAACGTGATCATCCCAACTCTGTGGATGGACAGAGCCACAGAGTTGTGACACATTTATTCATGAACAACTTTAGAATATGGACAAGTTGCCGGTGAGTGTACCAAGTATGTGTCGGACATAATTAGCAGCTTATCGGTAGGGAAAAAGTTGCAATAAACTGCAAACAACGCCTTAAAGTAAGTCACCCAAGAAGCTCTGCTGAACAGAACATCACATCTGGTCTTCAATCTAAAGACCCTAGAAAAACGTACTCTGTCCTGTTCTAGCCTCCACTATAATGAATAGGAAGTCTAAGGCCATGTGCTGTTTAATCATGCAGGTTACTGGAGCCTGGTCTGCATGCTGCATAAGACTTGATTTTCTGCAGCATCTCTGCCACGCACAGCACGCACACTGTAGTTTCTGTGCTAATAAGTTATCACCCCCCCTCCCCTCTTTCTCTGCCCCCATAACACCCCCTCCCCTTCCTGTAGTGCACTCACTTGCTGCACAACTGCGATTGCAGAGAAACACCAGCAAGCAGTGGAACAGTGCAGTCTCGGGAGGGAGTACACACACACACACACACACACACACACACACACACACACACACACACACACACACACACACACACACACACACACACACACACACACACACACACACACACACACACACACAATAAAGTGCTTCCCTATCAATCTCTACACAGACGTAGAGACACACACATTCACACACAACAAACTCACCAGTTGGGTTCTTGTTTTTCTTGAGGCTCCTGCCACAAAGACACTGCAGCATATGCGATCCTTTGCTGAAAATGTTGTTCCAAATAAACCGCATGGATTTGGCCGAGACGGGGGAGGAGGAGGAGGAGGAGGAGGAGGAGGAGGAGGAGGAGGAGGAGGAGGAGGAGGAGGAGGAGGAGGAGGAGGAGGAGGTAGGGAACGAGAGGCGCTCCGGATGCGGCAGCCTAAAATTCACCCACCGCATGGGGGCTGATCCGCCCCCCTGTTTGCATGCCAGCAGAGCCGGCCAGCTGTTGGGTTCAGTTCGGCGGTGCTTCGACCCCCCGATCTGCACCATAGACAAGAAGAGGAGCAGGAAGCCCGGCTCGTCACCCGGTTCCTCGCCCGGTTCCTCGCCCGGTTCCTCGCCCGGTTCCTCCAAGAGTCCAGAGACCAGCGCGTATTCCGCGTCGATGTCGAGGAAGAGAGCAACCGCTGCAGCGTTTTTCTCCTCGGTGTCTTCCCCCAGCGGCCGGTGGTCCTCAGCGGCGGGGGATAAGTCGCTGCTGCCGCCCGGCCGCCGCGGCGTCAAAAGCCCCGGAGCGCTCCTCTTCAAATTGCGTCGTTTGCCGCGCGGCGCAGGGAGAGGAGCGGCAGCGGCGGACAGGCATGCGGCGGCGCTAGCGTGAAGTCGGCGGTACGCGGCAACTGTCGGCTTCTTCACAAAAAACCATTGCATATTAGTGGGGAGCGCAGGGGGTCGGTGCGTCCGTCCGTCCGGGAGGGGAGGAGGAGGAGGGGAGGGTGCGGATACCGGGTGTCCGTCAGCAAGTCGGTGGCATCCCTGTATACCAGCAGCAGCAGACAAGTACTGCAGCAGGGGGGCTCCTTTCCAAACACACACACACACACTCACACACACACACACACACACACTGCACACACTGGGTCTCTGGGAGCGCAGGAGCGGCAGGTGAATCACTGCAGGGAATCTCTGCACTATCCCACTCTGTGTTTTCCTCTTTAAAAAGTCCTTATGAATATTTCATCCGCGTTTCGTTCTCCACTTCTCAATAATCCATAAGCTCCAATGCGCCAATATACTGCTGTCTGTCTGTCTCCTCTTCCTCTCCTCCTCCTCCTCTTCCTCACCTTGCTGATAAAAAAGAAGAAGCTGCTGGACTTTGTCTCTGATACTCCAGAAACTAAATGAAGAAGAAATAGAAGAAGAAGACCTGATCTGGCTCGTGGTGCTCTCGCGCTCCTCTGGTACTTCACTGTCTTCTTCAGCAGCGCTCGAGACGACCAGCGGCCGGTGGGGCGCGAGGAGGTGCACTGACTATCTATTCTATACCGAAGCAGCAACTAAGTGGGAGCAATTAATCAAAACACATGTTCCGGTTGGCTCCTTCAAAACAAAAAACTGCACTATCACAAGTTTAAAAAAAGCACTTTTTGATATGTATGTGAGGATCTGGTTCTCTCTGCTATTTTATTCATTTTTATAGTAGGCCTATGTATTTTCTTTCAACATCTTACTTGATTTATTATATTGCTAATGTTTAATGCATTGGTAATAAGTATTAAAGAAGAAATGTGAAGTAAATTAAAGTTCATATAAAAGTGTTTGCACTAGGCTATTCATATGACTTTGATACCTTACACTTTACACTTGGTTTTAACGCAACCAGCTGTGGTTAAAGTTCCTACAATAAGAGTTCAGTCTAGTTTATCCTCGACTTTTATTCTGAGGGAAATCGCTACTTCCGGTTTGCCTGTGCAGCTTGATACAGCTCTACTCTGAGGAGCTGCTTGCAGATACGTAGACACGTGGTTCCCACACCGTCAGCATCTGGACTGACTGGATAGAAACTGTAACCGGCAACATTTGGGGAGGAGGGCGCCGAGATGGCGTCATAAACAAACGGTTCAGAGACACACACCTCTGTCTCTGTTTACTGCAGCTTTTACAAGAACCTATATCTGATACAAAGAAAGGCTCCGGCCAAGCATCTGACAGTTTAATACAGTCTTCTCTGTCTGCACACCTGTTGCACGAATCCTGACTGCAACACTGGGGTCTTACAGTCACATCGGATTGGGTGGAAACAGCAGTTATCTTGATTGTCCCTTTGCATTTGGTTAAATGAAATGACTACAATGATTTAGTGCTGCATGGTGCATTGCATATAGATTGTCAGAAGCTTATCTCAGTTATACACTGTGTGCACTCATTGCGGTCTGAAACGGAGCTGGAAATGCTGCAGTGTTTTCAGAGGCTGGCGCTGTCCATAGTGCTGAATCCACAATCGCTGGTCACACACACACACACACACACACACACACACACACACACACACACACACATACACACACACACACACACACACACACACCTGCAGGGTGCCTGGCAGATTCCTTCTCACACTGTGCACGACTTGTATTGTTAGGCGCAGCTCAAGTCTGCAGCATGCGATTGCTTTAATCAAGGGGCAACATAGCATCTGTGTGCAGAGAGAGCCACAGCTGCATACCTGTGAACAGTGTGTGTGTGTGTGTGTGTGTGTGTGTGTGTGTGTGTGTGTGTGTGTGTGTGTGTGTGTGTGTGTGTGTGTGTGTGTGTGTGTGTGTGTGTGTGTGGTGTGTGTGTGTGTGTGTGTGTGTGTGTGTGTGTGTGTGTGTGTGTGTGTGTGCTTGTAATACAGTGTCATCGAAAAGGGAAGAAGGAACATTTTCAGGATTGAGGGTGCAGAGAAAGAAGGAGTGAGGAGGCAAAGCACTGAGAGTGAGGTGTGCAGCCAGTGCAAAGGAACCACAGAGGGGATTTGTAATTGGAAAAAACCTTAGTAATAATACAAATTAAAATAACTTCAAATAGACATAAAAGATAAGAATCTAAAAATAATGTCCAGCCTGTTATTAATATGCAACCTTATCTCTCAGTGTACCCTAACACGAATAAAGACAACACTCTAAAAAGGAAACAACAATGTCCGAAACCATTTTAAAAAGAGTTATGGACAAATGAGCAACAAGTGAAATTGGACAGCATCAGTAAAACACCCTGTCACCTTCACATCAGAGTAGAGCGTCAACAAGGAGGCAAACACACAGATCAGAACAAAGTCAGCAGCAGCTAGAACCACAAACACACACATGAAAGTGAAGAGCAGCTCAGCTTACACACACCTGTCTTCAGAGGTGGAATGCAATTAACTACATTTGCTACCTGTGCAGTACTTGAGTTACTGTGAGTGTGTCCTTTTCATGCCACTTCCTACTTTGTGTTTCAGAGCTAAACTTACTTTGCAAATTAAGTTTTTTGCCACAAAAACATAGCAAGAGTTTGAGAGTAGCAACACATTTAAATACTCAAGTAAAGTACAAGTACCTCATTAAGGACAGAACTTTAGTAAATATACACCACTGGGAGCATGTTTAAAATGTGGTATTAGTACTTTTACTTGAGTAAAGTATCTGCGTACTTTTTCGACCGTTGCTCTCTTTTACAATGCCTTGTTTCTAGGCAACAGTACCACATTAGCATACAGCCATGATACGTTTGTTGTTGTACTCACCTGTCTGTCTGAAGGTGGTTTTATGGGGTATTTTAAGCACCGAGAAGTCCTCTGAAGTCCTGACGTCCTCTTGAATCCTCTCCAGCTCTTAACTGTTCTGCTCCTTTATCTTTATCCCCAAGCGGAATATAACGAGCCCTCTCTCAGCCTCTCGTGTCCTGTTCGGTTCCTAAAAGTCAAAAAGTGTTGAGCTAAATTAGCCTTGACAGACAAAACTGTGACAGGAATTGTTATTATCTTAACATTATATATTGTATTAGTGATAATAAATAAGCAGAAAGGTCTCACACACCTCACTGAATGCAGAAGTTCCTCAGAATAGTGTAAACGCCGGAATTTCAAGCACGAGCGGATTTTGTATTTTGTATTTAAACTAGGACCGACAAGCACCTGTTTCAGCTGGCAACAAAGGTGCGTTTGATGTGTCACCGGGTGAGGCAGAAGATCAAATTGAGTTATTTGAGTAAATGAGATGTAAAACTTATAGCAGCTCTTATCCACTTAAAGATAGACACTGCTGAGTCCCATTTAAAAGTTGAACCTTTAATGCCTCACATCCACGAGCCCTGATCTGTGTGCTCGTGCTCCACCTGCTGGTTGAAATGGCTTAGTTAACTTGAACATATGACACAAAATAAATGAGTGTTGTGGATCATAGAACAACATTTAAATACTTGATTGGCATTTAACTGCATGTTAAATAATTGTTAGGCAATAATATATTAGAAATGGTTCTGACTAAGCTTAGGCTGAATGTGTTTTCTCCCCAAATTACTGGACATGATCAATGGAAAAAAAGAGTAGTTTCACCAATGTCCAGAAGGGGGCAGCAAAACCTCCATTCATAACCTATTCTACCGGAAATACAGGAGACGAAGAAGAAGACGACGACAGTGGACAACACCAGGGAGACGACATCGGGTAACTTTACACCATATACACGCATATTATAGAAGTAGATGTTCTTACTAATAGTATTACTGTATTTAAACATTTGTCTGTCTGTCTTTTTCTCAGTTGATTCGTTGTCATGGAGCGATGCTTTAGGTAGGAACAGGAAAACACAGCTTGTTTACCTCCAGTGCCTTTAAGCTGCTGTGGTGCATTAGTGAACACATTCAAATAAAAGGAGTTCAATACAGATGGCCTAAAATGGAACTATATAGGTATATAATGTCGTTTTAGCTTGCTTATAATGCTTTGTGATGATGTGTATTGCCTAGTTAACATGGAGAGATGCCAGGGTTCACTTAATAATTGAGCAATTTAAAAGCTGTCTTTAATATATTTATTAATTAACTGCTTTTCTTAATTGTTGTTAGCCAGTTTTGTACGTCGTGTGCTTGATAATCATTTAAACACAAAGCATTTATTAACATATTATGCTCATCATGACTATTTTAAGGTGCATTACTCTGTAATTTGGTCTGCTATAGAGTTTTATGTTACCTTATATTGACTGCAGTGTCTTGTGATTATATCCCGAATTGAAGGGCGGTTTGACATAGCAAAGTAATGAGTCAAAGCTGCTGAACAACATGCTTATAGCAATGTGTTTCCTCTGCCTTGTTCCATGTGTTAACCACCATCTCATCTCTTCCTTCCTGAAGTGTCAGCAGGGATGGTTCAGCTCCTCCATCATCACCTCCCCCTCCTCCACCTCCTCCTCCTCACAGCCTCCCTTCTCCTCGCCAACCCCCTCCCTCCTCCCTCCTGTCAGCTGTGACTGCTCCCCCCCGACGAGAAAGGCTGAGAGTTGCAGGAGCCATGGTGGACGTCAGTAAGTGGCCCCTGTTTTCTCTGCTGAGCGCCGAGGAGCTGGCCTCAGTGCGGCAGGCCTGCGTGTTTGGGACCTCTGCTAATGAAGCCATTTACATCACACATGCTAATGAGGTGAGGCCCTCTGGATGTCAGTTACACCTTGTTAGATAGATCGAAATGTATAGACAGAAACATATTGACATTGGATAATATATACATTACACTTGTGCAAAGTTAGACATCACTCTGTTGTCATTTTTTTGTTGTACCTGTGTATTTGTATTCTCAGGTGTCTCTGTGTCTTCTCTCCACCAGGTGTTTGTGTTTGGGTTGAACAGCAGCAGCTGCCTGGGTACAGGAGACAGTCTGAGCACCATAGTGCCGAAGAAGCTGGACTTCCTGCGGGGGAAGAAGGTGGTCAGCCTGAGCTATGGAAGTGGGCCTCACGTCCTGCTGGCTACGGAGGGTGAATACTAAACTAATCAATCCATTTCAGTCTTTGTAATTATCTGTGCTCCTCTTACCTTCAGCCCTGCAGTGTGTAAATGCTCCTGTGGGCTTGTATAACAACATCTTCTTGTGATGTTAAGAGTCTTAAGTAAGAGGCAATGTCACCATGTGGCCTTGGGTTGTAAGGAGTGTAAGGGAAACTTCTGTGTAGCAATGCAGTGGGAGTCACCGACTCAGGAAAGAGACACGGTAGAGCAGGAGCTTCGATGTCAAACACTGGAGGTTTATTTGGAGTTACGGCCGGAGAGTTCACATCACAAGTCACAGCAGTCACGGTCTGACTGCACGGGTGGGTTGCCACGTCAATTCTGGAGCGCCTCTCTCTCGTTAGCCCATTTAACTGGTTTCACAGAGAGTAATCAACATATTTTGATAAGATAGCTTTAGACAGTTGGGCACACTGAGTCACTTATGGCCTCGAAGATGTCATACCTTGGAGTCCATAAGCAACAAAGAAGGAAGTGTCCCAGTGCACCCACAACAACAGACCATCTGTGACCTAGTGTTGACCGGTCACAGAATGGGAATAATAACATTATGGCTGAAGCAGCCTATGTCCTTAAAGGAGATAAACAGACGTCAGGGTTGGTCCTGTACGTCATATCTAGGAGTCTAGGACAATTATTTCCCTAACATGGAGTATGTACTGCTGTAACAGTATGTGGAACTCATAAAGGTATACTGATTCTGATCGTCTCTCTCTGTGTCTCTGTGTTGCAGACGGACAGCTGTTTGCATGGGGACACAACGGCTACAGTCAGCTGGGGAACGGGAACACCAACCAGGCTCTGTCTCCGCTGCTGGTCACCGCCAACCCTCAGAACAAGAAAGTGAGGGAGGTGGCGTGCGGCTCGCATCACTCCATGGCGCTCACTCAGGACGGAGAGGTGGCTTTTTACATGACATATTGAAATATTAAGGTCATGTGTATTGAATTTGTTTACTTCTAAAGAGACTTGTAGGAGTTTGAATATAATTAAATGGGGAAAATACAAGAATTTTCCATTTTGTGAAACCATAAATAGTTGTGGTTTTCCTGATTAGTTTTACATGTGTCACTTGACGTAGCGTCTTCCTGCTCTGCCAGTACTCCACTAAGCAGCTTATTGTGAACCTCAAGGCATTAAAGCTGCTTAGGCTGTGTGACAAGGTGTTCAATGTTACCAACTGTACACTAGTATGTTCAACAGGGTTGTGTCTATGTGAAAAATAAAAGTGAATTGTCTCACACGTTGCTTCCCTGCCCTACAGGTGTTTGCATGGGGTTATAATAACTGCGGTCAGATTGGCTCGGGGTCCACAGCCAACCAGCCTTACCCCAGGAAAGTCACCGGCTGCCTGCAGGGGAAGATTGCTATCGGCATCTCATGTGGACAGACCTCCTCCATGGCTCTGATCGACAACGGAGAGGTGAAAAGGGCATAAATGTTTCTATGAATCCCCTGATCAATCTGAACTTCATGCAGTAAAGTTAGCTCTGTGTATCTAGGTGTACGGCTGGGGGTATAACGGTAACGGACAGCTGGGTATTGGAAACAATGGAAACCAGCTGACGCCTTGCCGCCTCTCTGCACTCCAGGGGCTGTGCATGCAACAGGTGAGAACCTGCAGTAATGCTGACTGCTGATGACTCCCATTGGACTCGTTTCATGACTCAAATGTTCCGTGTTTTCCAGATCGTGTCGGGGTACAGCCACTGCCTGGCGCTGACTGACGAAGGGCTGCTGTACGCCTGGGGAGCAAACACCTACGGGCAGCTGGGGACGGGAAACAAGAGCAACCACCTCAGCCCGGTGCAGATCCTGGCCGACAAGGAGAGGTAAGAGGAAGGGCGGATTTCTTTGTGTTCCTGTTTCCTACCTCGACATCCGCTCCTCTTCTTAAGGAGCTGTCAGTGGGCAAAGGAAGTATTTCCCCTTCTGAAACAATGTCCAAATCCTGCCGTCTCCCAACAGAGTTTTATCTTCTTGAAGTGTTTCTTGTTCCATGTGATTTCTTTACACATCTCTCTTTTGACAGGATTGTCGAGGTCGCAGCGTGCCATTCAACACACACCTCAGCAGCCAAGACCCAAAGTGGGCTGGTATGTATGCAATGAATGCACTGTGTATTGTGTATATATAACATCTCTTTTGTATAATTTTCTTATAACCATGCTTCTCCTCCAGGTGTATATGTGGGGTCATTGTCGGGGTCAATCCATCCTCATGCCACACCTCACACACTTCACCAGCACCGACGACGTCTTCGCCTGCTTCGCCACGCCCTCCGTCATGTGGAGGCTCATGTCTATGGGTGAGAGAGAGAGAGAAAGAGAGAGGGTGTACTTTAACTTCATTTAAAGTATAAAGCTTCATTATCTGCTTTATTCCAGATCACGATGACTTCCTGACGGTCTCCGAGGCTCTGAGGAAAGAGTTCGACAGCCCAGAAACGGCCGACCTTAAATTCAGCGTCGACGGAAAGTGTATTCACGTTCACAAAGCTGTGCTGAAGATCAGGTGTGTGTCCACGTGGTTTTAAAAGTAAAAGTTAAATATTACATAGATATATATTAAAAGTTATCATTGCTTTGTCCGTAAACGATACAGGCATTTAAGCTTGATTTTCCAACATGTACAGTGTAGATAATGGGCTTTTTTCGGAGCAGGTGTGAGCACTTCCGCTCCATGTTCCGCTCCCAGTGGACGGAGGACCAGCAGGACGTGATCGAGATCGGCCAGTTCTCCTACCCCGTCTACAGATCCTTCCTGCAGTTCCTCTACACCGACACTGTTGACCTTCCACCTGAGGACGCCATCGGTTAGCGCACAGACACAGTGGTCAAATAATTGTACGGTTTCTGATTTGTTGTATGTAAATCCTGTCTTGTGTGTTGTCTGCAGGCCTGTTGGACCTGGCCACTTCTTACTGTGAAAACCGTCTGAAGCGCCTGTGTCAGCAGATCATCAAGAGAGGGATCACCGTGGACAACGCCTTCACTCTGCTGTCCGCCGCCATCCGATACGACGCAGAGGTACGACATATTCTACTTATGCACGTGGCTGCAGCGGCAATGCATTCTCCAGAAGGTTACATTGAGTCTTTGATTAGATTTTGCCTCTTCTACTCTTGTTTCATGTTGTTATTCCTCTTCTAGGACCTGGAGGTGTTTTGTTTCCGGTTTTGTGTAAACCACCTGACTCAGGTGACTCAGACTGGAGCTTTCTGGCAGGTGGACGGAGCGATGCTCAAAGAGTTCATCAGCAAAGCCAGCCGCTGCGGAGCCTTCAAGAACTGAGTGGAGCTCTTAGGATTTATCAAACTGTACCCTGACCAAGATGATGTGCTCTGGATGTGAGCAACTCCAAAAGCATCAGGTCTGATCACACTCCTGAGGGCGCACAGGCAGCATCGCTCACCAGAAGGATGGGAATTAAGCTTCATTATCGACGAATCTGAAGTCAGCACTTTGGGACATTCCTGTGGAGGCACTCGGCAAAGTCATGGCGCCTTTTCCTCTCACACATTCTTTACATGCTGTATGTATACTTGAATATATGTTTGCTCGGCCAGTGCTTCCTGTACTTAAGTTGACATGATAGACCAAAGACCTGGAAGAAATAGCAGGCTTTGATAGCTTTGATGACTGACTTGCTCTGGCCAGGAGAACCACCGTACTGAAACACTTTGAGTTTCCATATCTATCATTTCCAAAATACAGTGTTAGGTAAAAGTACACACAACAAGATCCAGGTCCTACTGTGGGTTGTACTGGGTCACTTATTCTGCACAGTGTAAAACCGTTGTGGGATGTATAATAATGTACTTTTTATACTCTTTTCTTTTGTATTAAGACGTTATTTTTCGCCCTATGGCACCTTTAAGAAACGGTTGCTTCTTCTTCATATTTAGTAAAACAGTAATGGTTCAAATAGTTTGACACACTGTGTAAGGGGAAAACTAAGTTAAAGAAAGTTGCATTAGAAGCGTTTAGGGCACTGTTACATTACGAGCAGATGATTTCTTTCTGTGACAATGTAAAATGTGTTGCATAGTATTCCTCTCCACACTGGGACTGTCAACAAACTGATCGAAGGTTGGTGTTTGTGTTTGCTAATCTTATCGGGACATATACAAAGAAACAAACGACAATGCAAACTCAGTTAGACCAAATGATTCCTTAATGATTCCTCTGTAAGGACACTTTCTCTGCACGTACAATGACAATGCACAAAACACTGTAAGATAAGGCAATCGGAGTACTTTGAAATTCTCTGTAGGGATAAATGAGATGTTTGTTTATATTCGGTTTGCTTTGGCTTATGATGACAAAAAACTGCCTAGTCCTCACTTTCTGTTCCATCACTGGGTGTAAGAGGATAAAACAGAGCAGATCAGTTTCTGTTACTTCTGTAGGTTTCATGTTCTTTATGCACTCAGATGCTTCAAAGAACCACTTTGATTCCTTGCAGTTAATTACATTGAGGTTAGTACATGCTTTAGTGGAGCAATGAGCTGGTTTCTTATGAAACTGGAAGAAAAGATTGTGTTGCTTTCTGTATTAAGATATAAAATATATTTTGTATTGTGCTTTGTTTAGCATTTCTTTAAATAGGACAATCATTACAATCAGCATTACATTATTTGGTTGTATGATTGTTTTTTCTGCTGTTACATAACTGACATGTTTCTTTTATATTTAGTTATTGAATTACATGTCACAGTGAAGAAATAAATAACTTGTTTCCATATAATGCTTATTTGGCTCTTAAGTAATTACGTCATATTTCTTATCATTTTAGTTCATTAATGTTTGAAGTAGTCTTCATAGTGTAAAAAGAAAGCAGCGGTTTATTCAATATATATGAACATATGGTGGTTTGCTGCCAGCTGGTGGAATAAATGGGTATCTAACAAACCACTAGTTGTCCCGCCTTCTTTTTGACGTCATGTGTTATTGCGGAAACAACCCGGAGCTTTGTCAAGTTAACGACAACCAGCAACGATAGGAAAAACAATTAAGGTTAATATGTATTTGAAAATGTATGAAACCTATTTAATTTAAAGTATACCTGGTTGTATTTATTATATTTATGTTACATATTCGCCTCCTTGTATTGCTTTTATTTGTTTCCCATGCCTTGATACAGTTCCTGGCTTTTATTTTTGAAAAAACTCACCGGAAACAGCGTGTATTCACGTGTCTAGCTCAGGTCTAGCTTGACACTGTAAACCTGGTCAATTGACTCTTTACATCCTGCTATTTCCTCTTGTCAAAGGACATATCATTTGATAGCTGGAGGATTTAATGGAAGGAACCGAGATAAGGAACCCAACCGATCCGGACCAGTCCATGCCGGGTCAAGATACGAGAGAGAGCAGCACGCAGACTGACTGCAGACTGCAAGGTGAGAGTTTAGCTGCATCGGTTTCTATTCCGTCCTGTCATTAAACAGCTGATCTGTGACAGGCGATAGGCATGTGTATGCTAGCAGACTATCAATCATTCTGAGTAATATGATTAAGAAAAAGTAAATAACCTACTATTAGATAGATAGAGAGATAGATAGATAGATAGATAGATAGATAGAGCTTTATTGTCTCCCTTAGGAGAAATTCGTCTTGGGCATCGAGATAATAAACATAAAACATTTAGGACAATAGATAGTCATAGATACAGAACAGAGATCACATATCACATGGCAAAGAAACAAAAAAGAAACATACAGGTACAGAACTTTCCCTATTGCATTCATACATAATCAAATATTGCACTTTCCCTATTGCACCTAGTGTCCGTCAAATTGCTCATATCCCTATTGTATCCATACCTATTTACACATATTGCACTTCCCTATTTAACCTTCTCGATTGCACACACTACACTGTAAACATTGCACCTCCCAACAACTCCTAACAGCATAATCACAATTGTTTCTGACTGTTCAGCAGCTTGATTGACAGCGGAACACTTATACCTGTTCAATTTACAGTTTGGTAATCTATACTTTCTGCAGTAACTCAAACTCTCTATACAGGATGTGTTTGGGGTCGCATGTGATTTTACGGCCTTGCTTTCTCACCATCTCCTCAAATATCTCCTGAAGAGAGGATGGTGGAAGCATGCTAATTATTTTTCCAGCCCTTTTTATCAAGCTCTGGAGTTGTGATTTCGATTGAACTGACAAGTTACCAAACCATGTTGTGATGCCATAACGAATAATAGACTCAATTGCTGCCCTGTAGAACATTAACATGATGCATTTATCCACTCCATGAACCCCGAGCCTACGCAGAAAATGCAGGCGCTGGCTTATCTTTGAGCATGCCTGATCCACCTGATGGGCCCAGCCTAACTGAGCATCAAAATAAATCCCTAAATATTTCAAACTTGTAACCTGCTCAACTCCCTCCCTTTTGATAAGGACTGGGCTGTGATCACCTGCGGACTTGGGGTCAAAGATCATGATAGCTGCATGATAGCTCCGTTTAAGTGAAGTCTGGATCAGGGAGTCCAATGCTTGTAAAGTGGAGTGTATTTTAAAAAGACATAATTGATTTCCTATTATGATATCAAGTTCATTATTATTTATATATGATATTGCAGAAGCCCTTCATTTACAGGCATTCTGCTCCAGTGTCCGTATAGTGTCTTTATATGCTGTCAGCTACTAATAGCATGTAGTATTAAGTTCCTTCACCATCTTCATGAGGGCTTCATGTACATATATGATAAGTAGATGCATGTGATAGGACCTGCCTTGCTGCCTTCACTTCATGTTACTGTAAGGTGTGGAAGCAACCTGAGACATTTAAAATATCAACCCCTGCTCTCCTTCACATATACTTACTCACACCACCCAGTGTAATTTGACCTTTGCATGAAGGCACTTGTGCATTTAAGAATAGACAAGACAACCCTTCTTTTGTCTCTCCCTGCATCAGGCCATGGCCCCAGGCTATCAAAGGTAAACCTGTTTACCTTGCTGAGTCTGTGGATGGAGCTGTTTCCACAGGAGCAGCCTGAAGAGGATGAGCCCAGTGAGGTGAGTGTACCAATGAGATAGACCACGCACGATGAAGTAACCAATGTTCAAATCTCCAGATTAGTGAGTTATAGTTAAGTGATCAGACCTGTTGTGATTCAGATCCGCAGGGTGGGTCTGGTGGTGGTGCAGGACAGTAAGGTGGTGGGACTCCACTGCTCAGGACCTGAGCTCCATGCAGGACAGGCAGCCATCATCCAGCATGGCGCCTCCCTGGCTGACTGCCACCTGTATTTCTCCAGGAGACCCTGCGCCACCTGCCTCAAGATGATCGTCAACGGTGAGGAGAGGACTCAGACAGAGATTAGTGGTCAGACACAGAAAGGTTGGGGAATTAAACCCAAGCCTAGATGTTAGTTAATCAAGTTGCATTCTGCTTTTGGGAAGGGTTTCCCGACATGGGGATTAGTCATAGCTCCATTAAATTGAGCATGACATCATGATGTCTGAGTGCAGGGAAACAAACCAGCAGTTTTCCAAGTGCTTTCACAATGTTGTTCATTTCAGTATATTGTAATCACACTCTCCTCTGCAGCTGGAGTCAGTCAGATCTCCTTCTGGCCCGGAGACCCTGAAGTCAGCATGCTGAGGTCCAGCTCTGCAAACACCTCCAGCTCCCAGAATCCTCCTCGCAGCATCCCTGAGGAGGCGGCGCTGGATGCCGTCGCAGCGGAGAAGCTGAAGTCCAACAGCCGTCCTCACATCTGCGTCCTGCTGCAGCCTCCAGCGCCCGGCCTGGCCCAGTTTGTCTACGAGACGTCCAGAGACTGTGATTTCATGGAGAGGATGAAGGACGATGATCCGGGGCTGAACACAGAGGAACTCTTCAACAGGTAACAAGCCTTCCTTTAAGGTTTAGGTTATAAAAAGCACCTGGTTTGCTTATAAAAGGATACATTCTTCCTGTTTTCCAGAGAGCGGACGAGACACCTGAAGGATTTCTCCTCTCAGCTCCTGGTGAGGACGTCCCTGCAGCACCGGGAGATTTTAACCCACATGGGGCTGGAGGACTTCTGCGTGGAGCCTCACTTCTCCAACCTGAGGAACAACATGACGGAGCTGGTGGAGGTGTTAGCTGCAGTGGCTGCCGGGCTGCCACAGCAGCACTACGGCTTCTACAGGTCAGAAACATCCACGGTTCTTCACATGTTTGCCATCCACTGCTGCTATTTGTTGTTGATGTTGTTGTTCCTGTTGCAGAGAACAGCATTTAGCCCCTGAGCCATCAGTAGCCTCGCTGCAGACTCCTCACGAGGGACTGTCTCAAGAAGTGGTGCGCCATTGTATCATCCAGGCCAGGCTGCTGGCTTATAGAACAGGTCTGTCTGGTTTTTATTGATTTATTTAATCGTTTATTTGGCAGGGACAAAAAACAAAATACATGATATGCAAAAAGTGCAAGAGAGCAAGAGCAGCATACACAAGTATTTATGACATGGTAATACAATGTAGCAGCAACGACATATAAAGTGCAAGAAAAGATACAAGAGCTACCTAAAGTGCAAGAGGAGATACCTCTGTGTTAAAGTGCATTTAGCGGTGATTGCACGAGTTGTCCGTCTGTTTTCTGTTCGATAAGTAAGACTCAACCCACTGTATTGAATCTGCCGAAAAATGGAAATACGTCAGCTTTGTAAGAAGCACTTGGTGGTCAGCAGTGTCAAAAGCCTTCCTGAGATAATTGAAGACAGCACCTACATATGGGCTCGTGTCCAACATACATTTAACCTTTTCCACAAAGACACAGTTAGCCGTCTCAGTGGAGTGGTGAGCACGAAAGCCAAGCTGCATTGGGTGGTGTAATGGAAACTTCTGTGTAGCTATGCAGTGGGAGTCACCGACTCAGGAAGGAGACACGGGAAGAGCAGTAGCTTTGATGTCAAACACATGATGGTTTATTTGGAGTTAAACGGCCGGAGGATTCACATCACAAGTCCAAGAGTCAGAGGTTCTGACTTCACGGTAGAGTTGCCACGTCAATTCTGGAGAGCCTCTCTCTTGCCAGCCCATCTAACTGGTTTCGCAGAGAGTAAACAACATATTTGAGGAGATAGCCTAAACAGTGTGGGAGCACAGAGCTACTTGCCTCGGACACTTATGACCTCGAAGATTTTACCTTGGAGTCCACAAATACAGAGAAGGAAGTGTCCCAGTGTACCCACAACACAGACCATCTGTATCCCAGTATTGACCGGTCACAGAATGGGAACAATAACATTATTGGCTAAGCCGCCTGTGTCCTTAAAGAAGGTAAACAGACATCGAGGTTTGTCTTGTATGTTACTAATTGGCGTCTTATGATAATTATTTCCACAACAGGTGGAGTGGAGCGGTTTACAGAAATATTGACTTAAGGGACATTTTGGCATACAGTACACTTATCCTATTTAGGTCACCATAAGATTTCTCTGAGGGAATTTCTATTCTAATTCTCCTGAATGACAGGCTTTAAGGTCACAGTTATTTGAAACAGTGTTCCTGTCATTTTGTCACCAGCTCATTATACGCAAACCTGTCATTTTCATTCCAGAGGATCCTAAAGTGGGTGTTGGAGCTGTCATCTGGGCCAAAGGAGCATCGGTGAGCTCACATTTCTTCCATTAGATGGGATTTGGATATTAGTTTATCCCTTATTATTATTATTATTATTATTATTACATTTGCAACTGCTCCCTTGTCGCAGGCTGGCAGTGATGGGACTGGGTGTCTGTACCTGGTGGGTTGCGGGTACAACGCCTACCCAACAGGCTCACAGTATGCAGAATACCCCCAGATGGACAACAAGCAGAAGGACAGACAGAGACGCAAGTACAGATACATCGTCCACGCCGAGCAGAACGCACTCACCTTCAGGTCAGCAGAGAAGAGAAAGATCTGGTCTTAACACGCTGGAGCCTCCTCCCATATTCTGTGTTTGCTAATGCTTTCAGGACCCGACACATCAAACCGGATGAGCACACCATGCTGTTTGTCACCAAGTGTCCGTGTGATGAGTGTGTGCCTCTGATCCAAGGGGCCGGCATCACACACATCTACACCAGCGACCAGGACAGGGACAAGGACAAGGGAGAGATCTCCTACCTGAGGTTCAGCAGCCTGAAGAACATCAGCAAGTTCATAGTGAGTACTTAGAGGGACTGAGGTGGGTGTCTTGATAAATGGAGGAGAATGTGACTTTCTTCTGTCTTCCCAGTGGCAGAGGAGCCCTTCAGCCTCTTCTCACCACACCAGTAAGTTCCACATTATCTTTACACCTTTAAAGAGCACATGTTCAGGTTCATATTAGTATTTCCTGCCTCTACTGTGACATGTTTACATGCTCTAATGTTCTCATACTGCCTGTGCTGAGCACCTCTTTTCACCAGTTTCCTGACATGAGATCACAGTCTGCTCTGATTGGTTAGCTGGCCAGCTCTGTTGTGATTGGTCAACCGCTTAGAGACGTCCACACACTAAAGGGAAATCCTATTGTCACAGCATTTCTCTTTGTTCCAGACGGGTTTGGGGCGAAGCACGGCAGGCCGGAGGAGCAGGAGAGCCACAGCAACAAGAAGCTGTGCACCCACAGATCCAACATGTCACCCGTCAGCTGAACACCACACGGATACATGGTTAAACCAGAAAGAACGTTGTTTTTTAGCCACAGATTTGGTATTATAAGGCTAGGACTGGGACAAATCTGTGCTGCACTATATTTGTATTTATTTGCTGTTAAGAAGTGTGAAAGTAGTCTATGTTGTGGAATCAGAATATCAACATCTCTCCCTGCTGCATGTTTACGTGTCAACAACAGTAATCTGTACAAAACAAATGGTTAAAAGTGACTGTAAAACTTTATATTTCAATAAGAGGCTGCTGTGAGGGGAGGACAGTCTTGTGTCTTTTAAGGATTCAATTGGAGAAGAAACATGAACACCTCTAAGGGGAACCATGAATGGATGGATGGGAGAAGGGAAACTACTAAAAAATGATATATTTTAAATAGTTTTATAGTGATGCTGTGATGTCATTTTATTTTTGTATACAAGAGCTGAATAATTAAAATTGTTGCACATAAAGACATCCATACTGTTTAAGTATGCAATGTTGACTGAAGGGCTGCTGCGGTGACAATATTGCAGCCTAAAATCATATTGCTAATCTATTGAAGCAGCTTGAAGAAAGTTTTTGTAATGTATTTCACTTCTTTTTCTCTCCGTCAGCACAACTACAATAATCCAATGTTTCTTTAGAATACAGTTATCAATCATTTAAAGCTTGAGACAATACATTTCCATTGCACTACAGTTGACAACAAATGAGCACCCGCACACAGAGCATGCATTCCCATCCTTTTATTTGTTGTGAATGTGGTACAATAGCATCAATGTGGAAAATAAGGAGGCGGCCTTGAGAGAGAGAGAGAGGATAATGTGGAGTTGCTAATTGTTCTTTTGTTGGCGAAATAAAAACGTGGGTGAGTTTGGCTCAAGTTAAACTGGTTGGTCTACTTTTGCATGTTAGTACGATATGTCACAGCTTGAAGCACTAACAAAGGGCTGGGATTGTTTTTTGTTTTAAACCCAGACGACAAAAAAGGCTGAATTATTTTTCCAGATTCAAGACTGTTACTGTCATCCATTCGGACTCAATGACATATTTTAATGGTTCAATTAGTCCGTGTCCTGATTAAAGAGACTCCTGTGGATGCAGATCAAATATCAATTGGAGAATAAATTCAAACATTTCCTATAATTGAAGTGCCAATGTCAATTTTCATTATTATTCAAATATATAAACAACCGCATTTTTTTTTTTTTTACTACATGTGGATTTTTCACAGTTACATTTCTCAGTTCAAACTTTGGCCTCACTCTGCGATAACGTTCCCGCTGATTTCTTCACCAACACAGTTTGTAATTTGAACGTTAAATCAACGGAAACCGTAAAGCCCCTGGTCTGTACACGATGGCATCAGCTTGAAAAAGTTCAAAACGTTTCTATGACAGCGTAACTCAAGTATAGTGAGTTGAGAAGTTCACTGCTTAATCACAACAGATATGTTCTGTCCAGAGCATATTCTCATTAACATAACAATTAAGCTCCCCTAGAAAGATACTGGAAATACAAAACACACCAAACCAAAAAGGCACCTCTGGATCCTCTCGCTGGTTTCTAACACCAACGTCAGATCCAAATCAAAACAACGTTCCCACTCACAATGGCACTCACTTCAGGTGTACAAACCATACACTGTACATGACAAGAAATGAAACTATATATAAAAAAATTAACCCTCAAGCAGTGATCCGCTTAAGATTAACATATTATGTATCATACAGCCACCAGCGAAGAGAACCAGTGATCAAAAGGAAGCTGTGCCCATAGCATGTTCCACTAAGAAGGCCCTCAAATGAAATACTCCTACACTTTTCGGTCAACAGTCACTGAAACCAGTTCTCTCAAAACGTCTATTCTCAGTCTCGATATTGCCAAATATTCGAGAGCTTCAAAGAGGCCCTATTATGCTGATTTCCAGGTTGTTTCTCTGTTGTGATTGGTTATCCGATTACAGATGATTAAAAAGCATCCCTTAGATCATAGTCCAATGTATTTATCTTGTAGTACACTCTTAATCTCAAAGGTCTACTTAATCCTGTCCCATGTTTAATTAACTATCAATCAATGTTTATTTACATCTCTGACCTCCTTCAGCCCTACACCCCCTCTCGTCACCTGCGGTCCTCTGACAAAGGGCTGCTCTCCATCCAGCGCTCCAAGCTGAAAACATTTGGCAACAGAGCCTTCAGTGTCGCAGCCCCCACCCTCTGGAATCCTCTCCCCTCTGCAATCAGGAATGCAGACACTCTGGACACCTTCAAAAAACACCTCAAACACCATCTGTTCACTCAGGCCTTTGGCCTCAACTAATATACAGTACTCAGCAACCTGTTCCTGTTTTGTTTTCTTCAGCCTATGTATCTGTATGATTATTATTACTTTTTGTTGTGTTACTTCCCATTGTAAAGCGTCCTTGGGTTTCGTGAAAGGCGCTATATAAATTGAAATTATTATTATTATTATTATTTATACAGCCTAATATCACAAATGTAATATTTGTCTCAGTGGACTTTACAATAAGGACGTCTAGCAGCTAAATGTTGCTTTTTGGCTAACGAAGCTTTGAGCGATGACTGAGAATATGTTTTTTTGCTGAAAAAACAAAAAAAAAGCAGAAATTCTTCATTATTCTAGTTGTTTTTGATTTGCAGCTACTTCCCTTAAACAGTTAGAAATCAATCCATGTGTAGAGACTGCATCTGGTGACTGTTCGCATTACAAAAAGGATTTGTAAGCGCTGGTTCTCCCAGCAGAGCGAATGCCTTCAACACCATGAGTTGTGGCACGACATGCTACAGATGGAAAACAAACAAAGACCTCATGAGAAACATTTACAAAAGCAAAGATCAGTGATAGAGAACTAGTGTTTCAAATGAACCAACAAAGAAAAGATTTTCTTTGAAATAGAGTAACCGTTATTGTTAATGTGTGTGTTTTTTTTTTTTTATCCTATCGGTAAAAAGTTGGGGTTGAGGGGCTTCTCTAGGAGGCCGGCTTCTTCAGATCCCGGATCTGTTTGATTAGGTAGGTCTTCTCGTCGTTGAACTGCTCGTCGTCCGTGCGATCCTTCTGGAAGTTGCTCAGGAAGTCGATTAGTTTGGTCTGGTTCTTGAGCAGGATGTCGATGATGGGCTGCGTCTTGTTGGGGTTCGCTACGAAAACCTGAAGAAGACAGGAAGAAAACATTTAACACACGGAGACAAACTGTGTCTGGGTTTTAGTACGCAAAACAGTAACTGTACAGCTCCATACTTATGACCAATCCTACCTGACATGAATACATCTTTGTTATTAGATATTTAATAATAGAAGGGTGGTGTTGTACCTTGAAGACGTGGAAGGCTTCAAACTGGATGTTGGGGCTCTTGTCTCGCAGCAGGTTCATCATCAGCTTCAGGTTCTCCGGCTTGCTGATGTAGCGCGTCATCACCGTGAAGTTGTGTCTGTCCAGCAGCAGCTCGCCCAGCAGCTGAGAGAAGATCATAGCGATGGGTAAGGGAGATAGTGTGAGGGTTTAATGGCTCCGTTATAGATATCGTATACATCGCCCTACAATTTAAAATAGAGTCAAACCTTTAGAGACTGCCGCTTGGTGACGTAGTTCTCAGAGTGCAGCAGCTTCTCGTAGTCTGTAAACACCTGCGATTACATTAACAAAATGTATTATAATACTTTATTAACACACTGGTGAATTTAACTATTAATAGGTTGGATTTGAGACTTAAGGCTTGTTGAGAGAGGCTATAACCTGATCTGGTTGTGTGTGTGTGTGTGTGTGTGTGTGTGTGTGTGTGTGTGTGTGTGTGTGTGTGTGTGTGTGTGTGTGTGTGTGTGTGTGTCCTAGCATTACCATCCTTATGGGGACATCATTAATTTTAGGGTGAAGACTTGGTTAGGGTAAGGTTAAGGGTAAGGGTTAGGCATGTGTTGGTTATGGTTAAGGTTAGGATAAGTCTCCAGGAAATGCATGTAAGTCAATGTAATGTCCCCTGAAGTGATGTATACATGGTGTGTGTGTGTGTGTGTGTGTGTGTGTGTTCATGTAGAGCAGTGTTTATGTGTGTCTCTGTGGCTGATGTTTCGTGGGAGTCTTGCATGCATGTGGTCAGGAATGATGCAAGTAAAAAAAAGTTCCACCTGGTAACGCTGGTTCAAAATAACATGGACGACTTGCATTAACATGTGCTGTGGTTTTTACATGTGTTTACCAGATTAATCACTCACAGCTTCGTAGTTCTGCTCCAGGTATTCAGCCACAAGCACTTTGTGTCTTGTCAGGAGATCCTGTGGAGAAAGATGGAAAACGTTCACATGCGGCCCTAATCCTCTTCTGTAACAGTGCAACAAAAATATAAAATAATAAGATCTTCTGATACATAGACTTGAACTCAGTCTCGTACCTTGAAGGTGGCGAAGGCGTCGGAGGCGATGTCGAAGGTGGACATCTCCACGTAAAGGAAGAATTTGTAGAAATCACTGGAGTGCAGGATGATCTTGGCGAGCGGCTCGTGGCGAATGCACTCCCTCAGCATGATCCCGCAATTCAACGCTGACTGGGGCGTCTCGTAACTTTCACAAATTCAGAGAGGCTGTTTAAGTCTCCTCTTACAGGACCGTTATGTAGGTAAAGCCTGTATCTATGTGTGTGTGTGTGTGTGTGTGTGTGTGTGTGTGTGTGTGTGTGTGTGTGTGTGTGTGTGTGTGTGTGTGTGTGTCTCACCCATTCAGCAGGATGAAGAGCACCTCTGGGTGGGAACAGAAATATTCCACGGTGGGACTCCTCGTCCCGATCTGCCTCCTCAGGATGTTGTTGAAGATCTGACACACATCCTTCTTGCCCTAGAATATCACACACACACACACACACACACACACACACACACACACACACACACACACACACACACACACACACACACACACACACACACACACACACACACACACACACACACAATTAGACATAAGACATTCTCACGAAATCCTGGTTTCAAATGATTCAAAGAGGATAATGGAGGGCAGACTCTCACCTCGAAGTCGATGACCTGCAGGTTCTTCACCAGCGACAGCAGCAGCCCGCTGTTGTACAGCTCCTGGGCCAGCTGGGCCACCGTCTCCGTGTGAGGCTCCTTATCGTTGCTGCCGTACAGGATCTCCTTCATGGACACCAGACACTTCGACACTTCCTCAGACGCCTGGAGAGCAAGAGAGGGAAGAGAGAGGGAAGAGAGAGGGAAGAGAGAGGGAAGAGAGGAGGGAAGAGAGAGGGAAGAGAGAGGGAAGAGAGAGGGAAGAGAGAGGGAAGAGAGAGGGAAGAGAGAGGGAAGAGAGAGGGAAGAGAGGAGGGGAAGAGAAAAGAGGAGAAACTGAGTTGAGCTTGATCTTGGCTTGTGTGTGTGTGTGTGTGTGTGTGTGTGTGTGTGTGTGTGTGTGTGTGTGTGTGTGTGTGTGTGTGTGTGTGTGTGTGTGTGTGTGTGTGTGAGAGTCTAAACTTTCTCGACGGTGAACTGTCAGGAGATGACAGGTCCAATTTCACAAAGGACTGTCACCATCGGGCCCATGGACATTTACACAGACACAAACACACAGATACACACACACACAAACACACAGATACACAAACACACACACACAAACACACAGATACACACACACACAAACACACACACACACACACACACACACACACACACACACTTTGCTACCTTGTCTGTCTTCTTATCCTGTTTGACCAGGATGGTCATGTTTTCCTTCAGGGTCTTGACGATTTCCGCCGGACTCTTCTGGGATCTACCAAACAGCGGCATGATGGACACACACTCGCCTTGGGACCTACGGGAGAAAACACACACACACGACTGAATGAGCAAGTCAATGGAAAGCTGGATAAAACCACAAAAGTGAAATGGAGTCAGTTCATGACGGACTTTCTTCCCTGGCCATGCGGGAGCTTCATAACATTTCTGTGACATTTAAGAGCGTGCCAGTTTTCCTACAAAACATTACATAATATTGACTGAGAATCCAACAAATACTGAGCTTTTAAATATTAACACGGAAGTATGTCATTTTCTGACACTAGGGGGCTCTCAAGCAAAGCGATAAGAAAAGACGGAGATTGGTGGAGTGGGCTAATTGGAGTTCAATGTTTAATGATTTAAGATACAGATGTTACACTAAATACGCTATGTGTGTGCTAGGTTTGACAAATGAAGCCTCTTTGAAGACTCACTCTTGAGATATGCAAAGTCAATATCTGCAGTTGTTACATAACACCTAGAAAACAATGAGAGATTTGTTTGGAAGGGACTGTTTTGGAAACCTCAGGATCCTCCAAAACAAAATGTTGTTTCTGGTTTTTAATACATTTACAATAAATTATAAAAGCATGCTGTCAGTATTAGTTATTGAGAGCTAATTAACGTCACACTTTTATCCATTTGAATTGAAATCTACAGCACAGTAAAGTGTGCAAATAGACTGAATGTACAATCCAGCCATGCAGGACATGAATGAAGGGAAATGTAATTCCAACACACACAGGGTCACGTCCAGTGTGTGTGTGTGTGTGTGTGTGTGTGTGTGTGTGTGTGTGTGTGTGTGTGTGTGTGTGTGTGTGTGTGTGTGTGTGTGTGTGTGTGTGTGTGTGTGTGTGTGTGTGTGTGTGTGTGTGTGTTTGTAAAGGTAGCAGAAAGCTTCAAAATCAGGTCGGGTCAGGAGCAGGCGGAGAACTTGTGACTGCTAATCCTCATCTGGGAATGTAAAAGTGCGTACCCTTCCTCTAAACTCCCACTCCCACCTCCATTCCTCTACTGCCGCTCCCCCTGACCTGCTTCCTGAAAACCTGACCAATGGGGGTATAAAACAGGTATCTGCAAGACAGGTTTGCCTGCTAATAAAAGGTACTTAGAGCATTAGCATAATAAGGCCTCTCATTAATGAGCATTCCTGTAAACGTGCCAGAGTTAGCCAAGAAGCTATTTTTCATCTGTAGTCCCTGGACAGATTTTAAAAGTCAACCTAAAACACATTTCATTTTAAACAAGTAAATACAATACATTTAAAACATGCAACAGACATTACTGGGATACTTAAATAAAACAATTTAAAATGCAGAACATTAAAACAAAACAAAAGAACATGTTAAAACACAGGCAGTGGGTTGTACGGAGCAGGAGATTGGGTCAGTGTTGGCAGAGCTGATTCCTCACTAACCAGATTTTGAGTTGGGATTTAAATAAAGTGAATGTGGTCTGGTGTCTGATTGGAGGTGGGATTGAGTTCCATCGCTGAGCAGCTTTAACAGAAAATGAAGACTGACTGAAAGAACTTTTTCTGAGTGGAATAATGCAATCTCCTCTCGCTGCACCTCTTGTTACCCTAGTTGTGCGTATGTTAATAAACTGTCTAAGAGGAGGTGAGGTAAGGCCGTTGACAATCTTGTAAAAAAAGGCAAGCATTTGTTTAATGAGGTTTTCTCAGCTTAGCAAGTTGTATGTTTGAGTATTGGACAGTGATGCGAAAAAACAGATTTGTTGTCCAGTATTTTGAGTGTTTGTTTGTACAATGACTCCAGTGGTTTTAATGTTGTTGTACTGGCATGTGACCAGGTAGTTAAACAGTAGGTGATGTGTGAGAGAACCATAGAGTGTGTGTACATCAGAGATGCCTCAATTGAAATCTCTGGTGAACCTAAAATTCGATTGAATTTGACCCTATTACATATTTGTTTAACCTGAGCCTTGAAATTGAGTGTTGAATCAATCATGACTCCAAGGTACTTGTATTGTGACACCACCTGTAGCCTGATACAAAAACATCTGACTTTGCTTTGGTGAAGAAGATGCATACTGTTTTACAAATATTTAGTTGCAAACCAACCAAGTTGTGACATGCACCATGGTGTTTGTCAGTTCATTAGCCACTTGTGTCATATTGCTTCCATGTACATATATTACAGTGTCATCTGCATACATTTGGATGTTTGCGTCAGGACATACAGATGGTAAATCATTTATATAGAGCGGAAATAGTAATGGTCCCAGGATTGAACCTTGTGGGACCCCTGTCGAAAGACGAAGGTCAGCAGATTCAAGATTTTGAACTCTCACATACTGAGATCGGTTTAACAAATACGATTCGTTTGTGAAGAAAAGTTCAAACTGGAAAGCTTAGATATGAGTATTTTATGATTAACAGTGTCAAAAGCCTTTTTTAGGTCAAGAAACACAGCTCCTACAACACCACCTTTATCCATTGATTTGTTCTGTGAAAAAACAGTTGGCGGTCTCTGTTGAGTATTTTGCCGCTACTTTTAAATCCAGACTAAAGACTTTTCTTTTTGTCACTGCTTTTAATTGAACTATTCACATCTTAAACTGCACTGTAACTTTTATCCATGTATTTTTTCTTTTAATGTTTATTTTATTAGCTTTTCTTTTTAATGACTGATTTTAAATGCCCTTTTCTTAATGTCTTTCATTTTTTGTAAAGCACTTTGAATTGCCTTGTGTTGAAAGGTGCTATATAAATAAACTTGCCTTGCCTATATAAATAAACCAACCCGGTATCACGGAAAGACGTGAACATGTGACGATTTACCATGCTGGGAGACGTGAAGATGTCACGATTTCGTCCCTTCAAACGTGACAGCTACACGGTATTGTTACACGGTGCTATATAAATAAACTTGCCTTGCTTTGCCTAAAGCCAAATTGCATTGGATGCAGAGAAAATGTACGAGTGTTTAAATGGTCAATGATTTGCTCAGACACAATCCTACTCATTTCCCCTGACAATACTTAAACAAAGTGGTAAACTCAAAGCTGCACGACATATATATTCCATCAATTGTCACAATCCCATTATATGACAGAAAACCCAACAAGCAGCTCGATTAATAGCCTGAGATTTCACAAAGGAAAAGAGGAGGATTGTTTTTCAGTGCCAGCAAAAAAACAGCTGAAATGAGAATCACAAGGTTTTCACCTGACATAAGCAGAAACTCAGCTGAGGTTATTTAGTGATTTGTAGCCTCCGACCTCTCAGTTTGTGCAGAAATAGTGATTTTAAGAGTTTTAATAAAAGAAGCACTAAATACTTTGTTTCTAACGGGATGTTTTTTTAAGCTTTTACCTCAAAACACAGACAATGGCATCGTCCCGTGGAACATAACGTCAGGGAAACGCAGAAACACTTTGTCCACAAGCTGCTGAGTGCACAAAACATTTCATAAAGTCAACCTTAAGATTCTCAAAACAGAAAATACCTAAAATACCCTTTAATCCAGGGGTGTCAAACTCAAGGCCCGGGGGCCAAATCCGGCCCGCAACTTCATTTCTATGTGGCCCGCAAGAGCTTGCAAAGAATATAATACATGGTCACATGCCACTTTACAGAAGCAGGTTGCCCATAAACTACATGTCCCACAATGCATCTCATTTTGTGACATGGCACTGAAGAGACTTGCAATTATTTGCCCTGGTCTTCTGCTTTCAGACGTAGTTAATGATGAAGTTATTGCCCTATCCGATAATAATCCAATGCAGAGGCAATGATGTAATATAATACATTATTTTATGTATATTATATATTTATATATGTATAGTTATATAGTTACAACCAGCCCTTTGAGTGCTGATGTGGCCCGCGATGAAATTGAGTTTGATACCGCTGCTTTAGTCCCTTCATTGTGTTACGTCACGCTTACATAACTCAGACCCAGTCAATATTTGTCCAAGGATAAGCAGGCAATGAGGAAGTACTTATCAAAAGAGGGGGACTTTATAACCTTATCATATTGTAAACTATCAGAAGTTCAAACTCCCCCTCGGTGTTGCTGCAGCTGAAGCTAAACATTCTGATTATTAAAACAGTACTAAAATGGTCCGTTTAATAACACGTCTTTAAGTCCTGGAGAGCTTAAGGCTCTATATTCCTGCGAAGCCTTCATTTCCACTGCTTAAGACTGACTAAATGTTACGTAATGGAATTAATCTGGTGCCCACTGAACCCTCTGAACACTCAGCGAGCAGAGAAAAGGCTGCACACTGCCCCAAATATATTACATGTTCAGCTGTAATTATGAGAGACTTAAATAAGGATATACAAATAAAGCAGTAGGGCCAAAATTATAATCTCTTAAAATGAATAAATCCACTCTTAGACACCTTAGGTAGGTCACAATGAGAGGTTCCTGTAAACAGTATTTATGATAATAATCTTCTGTATGATTTCCTTAAAGACTTAAAGAAAGTATTTTAGCTTTTGATGAACTGTTTTGTGTTTAAAAAGTCATAAAATGGTGAAAACGTGACTATAAACAAACGTTTCATCTTCAATATGCTTGTTTTCTCCGTCTAATACCTAAGGATTTAAAGTTTAAAGTCACATACAACAAAGAAAGACAGCAATTCCCCAAAACTCAGAGACATTTCGAGCTAGACAAATACTAAAAATCCACCACTAAAATAATAAAATAACAAGTTGTCCCGTCTTGTGACACATGGATACCAATCTTCTCATCAATCGCCACGCAGCACGGTGCTTTGTGGCGCTTCAGATGACGGTAACACAGGAACATGTAGTAACACTGGCACTGATGACTAACGCCAAGTCATCCCAGTGAAGCAAGATGGTTATCCGTCACACCTATGCCAATGTGTCAGAAGCAGTGAATACAAGCTGGTCATTTCTCGGCACATGCTAAAAAACTGGTTTCACATTTGTCTTTCTTGCATAGGTTAAAATTTCCTGGTTCAACATGTTTTTTTTTGCTTAACCTACAGATTTAAGGCATGCTTGCAAACCTGTAGGCTTTCAACAATGTGATGAATGCACCTTTCAAACAAGAACATAGGTGGCGGCTTTTAAACTGACAGTATTTCCTTTTCATGATAGAACTGGAGGAGAAAGGAGGATGTTTAACCCTTAAATACTCAGCCAGATTAAATGAAACAAAGACCTTTTTAGTCAAATTAAGGCGTTTGAGTAGTTCTTGAATCAAACACCTTCAATTTGACTTTTAAAGAGCCTTGAACGAAGGTAATCAAATTCATTAAGTCTTAGAAAAACCCTGTTTTGTATCTTGTCAGAGGGAGCAATGAGGGTTTGATCTCCATCACAATCCATCCATCTCAAGCTACAAAGAAATGTTCTCTGTAGACGTCACAGGGAGATTGTTCTCTCCGAGGCAACCGGAGAGGACCGCTGTCTGAAAAGGACAAACATCAGCTCATCCATTCCTGAGGTTCATAATGATGTGAGAACAATTCCTCCTTTTAAACTTTCAATGGAGAACAAAGGGGTGTTGTGACCGCCTCAAATGTAAAATATGCTTTTGAGAAGCTTGTATGCCTCCAAAAGGAAAGTTACAGGTATAGAGAAAACCCACTTGTCATATATAATCAGATTTTAAATGCAATTGGTGATGCAATAAACGATGGAGGGGCGTGACGGTAGTACATGTCTTTCAACAGCAGGCTCACACACACACACACACACATACACACACACACACACACACACACACACACACACACACACACACACATTGCTGCAGTTTTGTGTATATAAGAATTTAAAGAGAAAAGAACAAATCAACAACCAGAGTCTAACCCTAGCATAGGCATTAGGAATATTAGTACATATAATTGAAGTCAGAAAGAGCTGTAAAATATGACTATGCACACTGCTGTACAATCACAACTGCTTTCATTATTAGTTATTCATATTGATCAATCTGTCAAATATTTCTTAAATTAATCAATTTAATAGTTGTAAAAATGTAGGTCAATCGTGAGATATAAATGCATTAATTAATGTACTAATAATATCAGGACTAGATCATTGGAACACACGTTTTATTGTGAAAATGGGACCGGAAGCTGCGTTGTTTTCATTCTTGCCAGCATGACTCTGGTCGTCTAAAGTAACATAGCAAGGAGGTAAAAAAAAACGAACACAAAAAACACACACTGTATATGTGTTGCTGGAGAATTAAAGACCCCGTGAACGACAGTGTGTAAAGCAATACAAGCTGTAGGCAGTAAATGACACATTAGGCCGCATAAACAGTCCCACACAACGTGATTTAACAAGGCTACACCCCTCTCTCTTCGACATTATTATGGACTAGAAATGATACCTACAGTGGGAAGATGTTGGGTCTTTAAATGTCTTCTTCTGTCCCCGCTTCACAGACCCTTGTAGTCACGCCAGGGCTTGTCAAATGCCAGGAAAGTCCGCTAAAAAATGTGTGCGATACAATTTAAAATGTGCGGAATCTGTTAAGAAGCCAGTGCTGAATTCCATCTGGTCGCTTTCCAGTAGTCTGTTAAACTAGCGGGAATACAATTACTCACTTCCGGTGTGCACTTTCACAATAAAAACTACGTGAACCGTGGTTTTATTAAAGAAATGGAACCATTAAGGAAATTGAAAGTATACATATGAAACACAGATTTACTATTAATCCAAATACTTCCTAAATTACCGAATTAAATGAATGATTTCACTATTACCGTGTTATTATTCTGTCGCACAGATACGTTTGTTTTATTGTGGAAACCTCGTCACTTCCGGTATTAGTGCGTCTCCCGCATGCCAACTTTACGCATCTGTATCTTTCCAGCCACGGCTTGGTCTCGTTCACATTCTCTCACATCAAGATCCTCGACCCAACAACCTGCAAATAATGGTATCATATATCACATTTAAACCCCCCAAAATTCCACTTAATTGATTTGTTATGAACTCTTTATATCTTGTCAGACATAATGTACTTGTTATGCTCTAGTGAGAGGAGTAAATGAAGGAAAAAAGAGGCTGACGGTCGGGTGGTTTATATATTGGAACGCACCCCAATCCAAATGGTGACAGTCTAAACTGGGAAAAGCCCATTGGAGGTTATTAACCACGTGGTTAAACCTACTCTTCTGAATCAAAATGCATAATATTGGCAATTTATCCATGTTTTTATGGTGGATCTTAAACTTGTAAACATTCATAAAAATGTTGATTTAGTAATGCTGCTTTCAGAGCCTACATTCCCATGAAAAGATGCAAATAAAATAGAGGAAACCATCTCAGACTTTATTAAAGCTGCTGTTCATTTTACATACATATTTACAAATGTACACGGATATATCTCATTATAATATATTTATATCAACACCATACTCAGTAGATACAATAGGAAAATAAAGACAGTGGTTGCTGCAATGTGCTGCATAAAAAGAAACAAAAAAATAGAACCCTTCTCGTCTCCCCGGCCTCCGAGTCAAAAAGTACAAATTATTCAATAACTTTATTGAGTGATCATGATAGAACGCTGACAAGTTTAGTGCCCGTGTCAGCTTTATGAGGGCAGAAAATAAACTCTCACAGAATACAACAGTGCCTGGTAAAAAATACTTGCCTTGTTCAGGGCTTTGCCGCGAGAGGAGTATGAAGATCATGCCACAAAGAGAGATGATGCACAGACTCATGATCCGCTTCACAATGTACATGCTCTCGAGGGAAACAATGTGAGGTATTACATCTGTACAAGTGTAATTTCCCACTGACATGGATCCACACACAATGCCAGCCTCAGTTTACTCTCTGGTTTACAATTAAGCTTCCTTTTTCTGGAGATTTTTTTTTCCTTTCACAGGGAGGACATGCGTATAAAAGTGGTTTTCAGCAAAAAGCTCAAATCAGGGTCGAATTGAACAAAACCACAGTGATGGACAAATGCAACCCATTTATTAAGTAATAAACGGGCGGGGCTGGTTTTTAGTGTAACAGCATGCTGCACTTTTTCTGTTTTTAACAACAGTCACACATTCGACATTGAAAATGGAAAAAGGAAGAGATTGTTTTACAGTGCGCCTCGTGGATACAGTAGAAATCTAGGGGTATCAAAAACACCTTTGAAAAACCACGTAAGAAAAAAGGTGTCATTCAATGTTCAGGTGTCATTCAATGTTCAGAATAGCACAGGTTATTTGTGTGTGTGTGTGTCACAGCAGCTGGTTGTCAGAGATGTGTCATCAACCTGTATCCTGGTTCCCACTACAGTGCCATATTAGCCAACTCAAAACGTGATGCACCTTGTTATTCAATTGCCTTGCTACATCATCACAACACATTTCGCTGCAGGGCCTGTGGAGAAAAGTCTCCGGGTTAGCCCTGCTTGAGGAGAGGTGGCTGCTGTCACATGCCTGAGTGGGGCTGGGAGCAGAGGGAGGGACAAAGCTGCTTTTGTTACTGCAGTGCAAACCAAAGATAGGCCATGACACACAAACTGGATTTGTGTGCAGAGTATTGAGACTTTTCTGTCCGAGGAGCCCCTAAAATGGTTATTAATGAACTTTTCCCAATGAGAAACTAACCCAGCAGGTAAAAGCATGAGTAATTGAGCTGAAATATCCTAATGTGTAGCTCTGATCCAGCTGCGGCTAAATAGCCAGTTGGAGTTGTTTTTTGAAGTGCACACACATATGCAAGAATGCACACACACACTCACAAACAAAGACATGTAGTAGACACACAGGTATGCAGTCACACCTGCCTGCCCACACACCTTCCTGAGAGGTAAACCCAGAGCAGTGCAGAGGCCAGTTAGACAATCATCCTTGGAAAAAGAAAAGAGGTTTTAAAAGTTGTTCTAAGCTGCCGCTCTGTTAAGTGATTTCATGTGTAGCTGCATGACATCTGCCCACCGGGTGGTGCTGTGGCTGACATTCACCAAGTGATGAATTATATAAGTTAATACGGTGAAACCAGGGAAGCTCTTATCGACGACATGGGGGGAATACAGCATTCTTGAATATTTGACACCCTTTGCCCGCCAGACATTATGACCTTACGTACAAAGAGGTGACCAGACTTCCAGTAAGACGGCCTGAAGGTGTGACCTGCTCCACTATGCACCAAAAGCTTTTTTCTTGTTGCAGCCAGCTGCCAGTTTTCAGAGTGTGCGATTAATGTCTGACACTAAAGCATGATGTGAAAGGCCGGTCTGATAGCATCTATACCTGTCGCTGATTCACACAAGAATCTATCGCTATGCTGTGATGGAGTTCATTGTAGCGCAGATATTTTTAAATCTGCCCACTTTAATGCTCCATAACCAAATGGGTTAAATAATAGACTGAAGACTTTTATCTGTAGTTTACAGTAATGTTATTTTTAAAGAAGGCCTGACGTGACTGTATGATGTGAAACTACTTCTCCCTGATGTTATTCCAATTATCTGCCACTGTGAACATACCTTTCATGTTAATAACTTTAAAGGTGAAATAATCTAAAATGAGAAAGTAATACTGTAAGAAAGAGGGGCGTTGATGACTCAGCTAAAACACTGGCAACACCCGCAGATTCAGAGATGATTGATTTATAGTTGGATCCTCAAACTGTGACGTGGATGGTCTCTGTGATTTGATTCGTCCTCCTGTCAGGGTCTGATTTAGGGCTTTTTGTTGTAAATCCACATGGACCTTGTTCTGTGATGGATCCAGGTCAGGGTTTGATGTCGGAGAAGCTGGTGTATGTCTCGCTGCAGCTGGAGGAAGTGCTGATGTTCCCAGAGACGCTGCCATCTGCTGGACAAACACACAAGAGGAACCTGAGATGTGGGCAGGGACGCAGCATGACTCAGTGTCCAAAGGGCTGATAAAGCAGGAACATACCTGAGCTGCTGAGTGACTGAGAGGACTTCGACTCTGAGATGAGGCTGAGGAGGTTTGCTGCAGCGACCCAGCCCTCCTTACTGCTGCGGAGGTTCTTCACAAACCTGCAGAGGATCAAACACAAAGGAAATGTAAATATATGATCATATAATGTCCTTTTGTTGGCATTATTCCACATCATTATTCAAGGCCTTCAGAGAAATACCAAAATAAAGCCAAAGAACTTTACCACTGTTCCTCCTCTCCTTCTCTGATCAGCTGCACCATGTCTCCACTCTTGACTGACAGCTCTTGAGGTCCCGCCTTCTCACAGTCTGCAAACACTGTATACTTTCCTGCAGCCTAAAGGGTAAAAGAGAGTCAGTCAGAGGTGGCAAACATCTGGAAAGTGTTAGGAAAAAAAAGACACCACATGCTGTATTCAAATGTGTTCAGGCTCACCAGCTTCTTCCCTACGTCGTCCTCGGGGTCAGAGTTCATGGGGTCCTCGCTGCTGGAGTACCCATCATTCTCTTCTGAGGCGTCCACCGAGAGAGACGCCTTGTTCCAGCCTGTGAAAGGGAACACAGGTCAGCAGATTTACAGGCAGAGGAGGTGGGATAATGAGAGGTGATTGGATGAATCGGTATCACACACACACACACACACACACACACACACACACACACACACACTAACTTCATGTGGCATGAAAATGCTTCTTGGGTCACTAATCAGATGACTCAAAAACATGCAAAATGATCCAGATTTATTCTGTAAGAGGTTTTTCTGACAAATCATTACACACACACACACACACATTACACACACACACACATTACACACACACACAGTCCAGAGAAGATCAGCGGAGACAGAGCAGATAGATCCCAGTAAAAATCTAATCAAAGTATCACGATCCAAAAAAAGGCAAGATTTGAATCACCTCATAATTTAACGGCTGCTCTGACTGCCAGTGCCGAAAAGTAAGTCTCATTATTTAATCAACGCCCCACAACCACTAACCCAGAACACCCAATAGTAGAAGAAGAGAGAGTGATTGATTTGAGGTAGAGTAATATTTGCAAACATACATTTAGCACCGAATTGAGTCTTAAAATCGTATATTTCACACCGAAAGTAGATTTAAAAATGTATATAATGCCAATTGGAAGATCATAAGATTCAATGGAAGGCTAAATGAAAGGAAAAGTGGTATATGGCGTCACTTTACCTCTAGTCAAAATCAATCATCACCCCAAACCACGGCAAACACCTACAGTGGCTGATCCTCAGAGCGATCTGTACCTCGCCGCTTGCTCTGTAACAGACTAGAGGCACTCATCCATCTGACTCTGACATGAGGAGCCGGTTCTAGACGGAGACAGTGACAGCGAGACAGTGAGACTGCTGGGTGAGATACCAGGAGAAAGGACTCCACCCTCTTATATGTTAGTAAACCATTCATCCACTGCCATTTGTTAAGTGACCCTGATGATAAAAGGTACAAGACTAATCATTCAGTGATGATGATAATGACCTGTGAAAAAAAATATATATATATATGTTTGTCACAGAGCATCTGCAGGTTTCAGAAAGCCAAAGAAAGAAATGTGGAGATATTTCAGTGGTGTACATTTGTGCAAAACAGTAACATATTGTACTGGATTGGCAACTAGTGCAAATGAAATCTATCATGATACAAATACAAGTGGGATTAGCACTTTCAAGACCTGCAGATAGTCTGTTTTAATGCAACACATTTCTCTCTCCACACATGTACAATTCTGTCATGGTAAATGAAGGGTGATGGTATGAAGAACAGCTTCTACTGCTGGATTATGGATGAGTTTCATCCTTCTATGTGAGACACAGATGAAATCTACATAATGAGAACACACAGAGTGGAGCACGCTTCAGTGGCGAGGGATGGGAGGATGAACGATGGCCTCGAGAATTAAATGGGCTCCGATTATGGGACAACAATATACCTTTGAACCCAAACGGTGTGGGGTCCAAGTGGCGTTTGGAGCCGTGCTCGGGGCTCATGGCCGAGCCTGGCCACACAGGCAGAGAAAATAAAGATAGAGAAGAAGAAGAAGAAAAAGAAGAGAAAGGTGAGAAATCGATCCGCCGGAAAGCAAGATTAACCCTGATCTTTTTAATTAATATATCATGTATCTAGAGCTGTGGCAATGTTAGACTTTACCACGAGGGGGCAGAGTGTCTACAACATACCTCACAGACAAATGTACTGCGTTAAGCTCTAGATTAGATCAGACAGAGGGCAATCATTGATTTCAAATTAATAACACAGCAGTATATGTAGTGTATTAAATATAGAACGTATGATAACTACATTGGTTGTCGGGAAAGGACCATCTACTGAATACTTATGTTCTTAATTTGAGGTTGTTCTTTTAGCGCAGGGGTGGGGAACCTCCGGCCCCCGGGCCGTATACGGCCCCCGGGCCGTATACGGCCCGCGAGACCATTTGGTACGGCCCTCGAGGTAATTTATAAACACATGCAAAAAAGAAAAACGTGTAAGAAATCTAGACCGCAAACAAATTAAACAAGCGAGTGCCTGTTTTTCCTGGCCAAGGTCAGGGTCCTTGAACACAACACGAGCCTAACGTGTCATCACGTGCTATATGTCTCGTCTGACAGGGGTGCAAATCTGACAGAGAGCACCAGAACGGCTCCGGGCCGGGACTTCACAAATTGCAGTACCCATAAGGAGCCGTACACATGCCGCAGTTTTTGCGTGGCTGTGTCTTTAGTTGAAAGCCCAGTGGCGATCTGTTCATCTGTCACACTGATCATACAGTCAATAACTTTGTTGTTATTAGCATCTGGTTAGCTAGCTATGCTAACGAATACAAGAAGCTTTTTCTACTACCAGTGAGGTAAAGGCACATCTTTATATGATCATTATAGTTATAAAAAAAATAAGAGAATAAAGTAAACAGGTATAAAATACTATATGACAGTAACAAAAAGTTGTTATTAATAAACAAGAATACAGTTTGAAAGGAGAGTGATTTGTAAAATATCCATAAAGAAAAATAAATCTGCTTCCAGTTCTGTTTCATATGGGTGTTGAGAGATGTTTCCATAGATCTCCTAATGTTGCTCTCAAAGTGCACCAGATTGATGCTTTTAACTTCAACATTTAAAAAAACAAATCTTCCCGGGGGAGCATGCCCCCGGACCCCCCAACTGAAATCATGTGCACATGGATAGGAAACTAAATACATTTGCACACATCTTGTGTGTCTATGCGCGAGTCATGGTAAAATATCTGGATTAAGAGGTTGCTTTTTCTTTGCACAGCATTAAAGAAAGGCCAAATTAATTAATTTTAGCATTTTTAAGCAGAGGTCAATAATTTGAACGGCCCTCGGAGGATGTTGAAAAAATGTAAATGGCCCTTGAGAGGAAAAAGGTTCCCCACCCCTGTTTTAGCGCATATGATTTACATTTTTTATTCATCAATGAAATAATGCAAGAATAACAAGCCTGACTCATTAATATAACCGAGTCTAAGCCTTGTGTGCCTGTTTTAAAACCTCCTAAAGTCCACTGACGTTACCTTTGGGACTCTTGAGAGTGCTGAAGCCTTGCAAAGTAAAACGCTTTTTAGCCACTGCAGACCTGTCAGTGGTGGGACTGGTCACTGGGTCATCTGGAAACGATGGTTTGAAATGGAGAGCGGGAGGAAACGAAAAGAGAGTGTGTTGCAAACATTGAAAAATCAATACATTTAGTCGATAACAAATAAACAAAGAGGTAGAGAGACAGAAAGAGGATCCATGACGATGAAGGGGATGAAGAAAAGTAGATCAGTGGGAGTTCACCGCAGGAGCATTTCATAGTTGAATTATGAAACTCTTTTCACTTCCGTGTTTGAGGATATCAGACATTCACCTTTGTGTTTGGGTGAAGAAGAGGAGTCGGACATCGCGTTCGCCTCCGCCTTCTTCTCCTCTGTCTTCTTCTGGCTTTTCGAACCACTACTACGAAAGGGACTGGGGGGGAAAAAGAAGACTTATAAATAATAAAAAGCATTTTAACGAGGATTCTTACGTGTGTGCAGCACATGAAACACTGACCTGAGGGAGATAGAGGAGTTGTTGCTGGCGGGACTCTGGAAAGCTGAGTCTGAGCTCTTCTGCTGACTGGCATCTGAAACATTGACTTGAGTTGAAAGCAGGTATGTATTACAGAAAGCAGAGAAGAAGAAATGCAAACAGGCGTGTGTGACTGTGTGTTTTCACGATACCTCTGCAGGCTTTGAGCTGCTGCGTCAGAACTTTGCGGATCTCGTTCACCCACGATGTTTTAATCTCTGGTGTTGGAGCCTAGACGAGACAAATAACAACAAAAAAACAACATTTGCAAAAACTGATAGGGTTGAATCTCCATTTATCAAAGCAGCAAGAATGAGTGGGTTTACCTGGACTATAAAAACTTCGTCTCTGGAGTTACACCAGATCTCAAACTTCTTGTTGTCTCCTTTAGCGTTCTCTGTGAAGCCCACCGCACTCATCTAAAGGGTTGAATGAAAGCACAAAGTCAGTCTTAATCTTTCACTACAGGGCACAAATATACTTAATATAATGTGATTGATGTTGGCGTACACTGAGGGAGTGTTTGAAGCTGTACGACGGAGCTTTCTCGTAGCCCTCCCCGTTCTCCTCCCTCCTCTTGCAGAACAGCAGGGCCTTCTGGTGCAGGAACAGGTGCCGCTGCATGGGCTTAAACCGGGCCAGATCTTTGACCTTGGCGTGACCTTTCTTATGCTCCGTCCACACGCTGAAGGAGCCCTGCATCATCAGGCGACCCAGATCTGACAGGTTACCCTGAGAGGGAAAAGAAAGCAGGTATTAATGAGGATCGGGGGACATTCATGTAAGATTTGAGGTGTAGTCATTTCTCTGACCTCGTATCCTGTGATGGCGATGAGGTGCATGGAGTCGTTCACAGCCTTCAGGATCCCCAGGATGGAGGAGAGAGCTTCCTGCAGGTCATCACAGCCATCACACCCCTTACTGTACTTCAACAACTCCTGTAAACACAAACAAAGCTTCAGTTACAGTCTGAAATAAACACTTAGATTTACAGCAGTACACGGAGACAGCTCACCTTTAGCAGGAGCTGGTACTTGGTGATTCTCTGGACAGGTTTAAGGAGGTAGGAGTCCAAACCAAGTTTATGTTCCAGCTTCTTCTGGCACTCCTGGTTCACAAAGCAAGGAAGATATTTAGAGCAGTGCTTCTCACTGGTGGTCCGTGAGCGCCCCCTAGTGGTCCGTGAGTATATTGGTAACATTTCACATTTGAAATTAATTAATTAATTTCAGTTTTCCGCACTCTCGCGGGAATATCTCCGCAACGGAGCGAGGTTAAGTTTCACTTTCAATTGCATGATATAGCCCAGCGCAACACCTTCATCACACATGTTGCCACTTGTTTCTACCATTTTCAGTCGATTTGTAATCTGTTCTAGAAAAACGATGTGTTTTTTGATATTTGTGGAGTTAGGTGGTCCGCGAGTGTTTTTTTATTGGTTAAGTGGTCCTTGGTATGAAAAAGTTTGAGAAACACTGATTTAGAGTATTGGTCTTGTAAGCCACAGGAAAAGGAAGCTACAGTTTGAGGTGAATGGTGATACCTGGAAGAAGGCACAGTCGGAGCACTGTCTCCACAAACTCTCAGAGCGAGGTTTATTCTGACAGTACGCCTCGTAGATCTGCAGGTCCTTCATCTGCACAGACACATGGAGTTATGGAATTGATTTGACTTTGAAAGAGTGTTTAATTGATCAGGAAAGGTAGCTTACCCTCTCTAAAAAGCAGCGGCCCACTAGTTCTGGGCAGTCAGTGTACGCTTCCAGTTCCTTTAGAAACGTCCTGAAGGCAAACAGCATGCAACAAAGTGTTAAAGTTTAGTTTGTGTTGAGATTTATTTCTATTCACTTTCTCGCAGGGAGTTAGATTGATCCCACTTTCATATTAGCTTAGCATGAAGACTGGGGGAAAGCGCACCTCTTATGAAACTGGTAGATTTCAGACATGTTTCCAAACAGAACGACCCTCTTGCTCAGCAGGGTGCTGGGGATGAGGTGAGCCATGGCTGGGTTCTCCATCTCCGCTGCATAGCCCTGGAGTTAAATGTCACACACGTTAGATCAATGGATTTGCTGATATTTAGGATATGTGCATGTACTGAAGTGACGTGACAAACACTCACCTCCAGCACGCACAGCAGCTCCTCCACATAAGCTCTCTCCGTCTCCAGAAGCTCATTCATCACGTGGCTGCAACACAGAAATACACAATAAAAACGTAGTTATTTTCTTAACAGTTGATTTCTACTACTATTTTATTTATATATAATCAATGAATGTATGTTTGATTCCTCTCTTTCCACCCTTAAACCCTTACCGCCGAAGTACTGCCAGGTTTTCCTCTTCTTCTGAGAGAGACACATGTCTAGTGCCACCGTTGTGTATGGGAGACTCCACCTGAACACACACACATGTATTAATATGGTTCTGCCCGAACACCTTTTGAGCTTTTTAAAAGAACAATTACCTCTAATGGATGATCCAAAACTGAGACAAATGTTGTGTATTTGACAGTATTTACCCTTTTACAGATGGCATTATCAGCCGAGTATCTCCTCTCTTTTCTCTGTTGATCTGAAGGAAAGGGACAAAACAATTAACCATTAGAAGAGCAGAGTTTTAAAATATAAGTCTTCTTTAATTATATCAGTCTATCTAACGACCCAGGCTTACTGGGAGAGGAGAGTGGGGACTTGACTTCAGGTCTGGGAGCGACTGGCTGGACGGGTCTGGTCTGTTTGGCGGCGAGCTTCTTCAGGCTGACGCGTCTCTTCTCAAACATCTCCTGGACCGAGCTCTGCTTCTGGAACACCTTCTCTACCTGATCCTGATGGAGACCAGACACAGATATTACAGATAATTCACTAAAACCGTTACAGGTAAAAATTCCTGCCCACTGCAATAACTCTATAACAAATCACCTCTGGCTGGCAGAGAACTCTCTGCTCCATAGCTTCTCTTGGACTTAAAATCACACTGTACAGTTTACATTTATATTCAATTTGATATTGAATAATACATTTCTTGCACAATTAATGTACATATACTGTAATATCCTGCATTATATTTTGTAACTGGAAATGTGTATTTCCACATGTATATTTTTTTACTTTTTAATGCTATTTTATTTCTACTTCAGAAATATTTTGGATTGTTTATTTCCAGTGTCTTTATTTCTCTTATGTACATTGCCTTGTTTTTTTTGCTGCTGCAACGCAAACATTTACCAAATTGGGATCAATAAAGAATCTATCTATCTATCCATCCATCTATATATCTATCTATCCGTCCATCCATCCGTCCGTCCGTCTGTCTGTCTGTCTGTCCGTCTATCTGTCCGTCCGTCCGTCTGTCTGTCTGTCTGTCTGTCTATCCATCTATCTATCTGTCTGTCCGTCTATCTATCCGTCCATCCGTCTGTCTGTCCGTCTATCTATCCGTCTATATATCTATCTATCCGTCCGTCCGTACGTCTGTCTGTCTGTCTGTCTATCTATCTATCCGTCTATATATCTATCTATCCGTCCATACGTCCATACGTCTATCTATCCGTCCGTCTATCTATCCATCTGTCTATCTATATTACAGTAAATTCACTAAAAGGTAAACTCATTATAATTGTGCGTGTAAAATCCTCTTCCTACGGACCCTGAGCTGAGAGGTGATCACCGCCTCATACTGGCAGCAGATGGCGCTGCGGTCGGTGAGCGTGTGCAGCGACCCGGTTTCCAGGTACCGCTCCAGCTCCTGTAAAGCGGCCTCAGCTCCATCTTGAGACTGACAGCGGTCCACAGGCTGGCTGGCCAACAGGAAGATGCCCTCTTCACACCACCGAGACGCCTGGGAGCAAGAGTATTATAGAAATTAATGACCCTGAAGTCTGGCAAAAGTTTCTCAATAATGATATTAATAACGTTTAGTTTATTTGTTTATAGCGTCGTGGCCAGTCCCCATTGATCAACTGTCACAAAAAACTGTAAATGGGGCAGCTTTAGCAAACATGGCTAATGTCCAGCTCTTGTCCCCCGGCCAGATCACAATACATCAACAGCATTAGTTATAAAGAAAGGATCACATAACAGAAAGCTTTATTTGTATAGTTCTTTTCATACACCAGGTGCACTTCAGTATAAAAGCACCAATTAAATGTGGATGTTGCTAATAAAAAGCTAATTTAAAAAGATGTGTCTTTAGCTGTTGTTTATAAAAGTCCTTCTTGTATCACTTAACAACATGTACCTTCTCCAGAGCGTGGTGCAGCTCCATGGCTCTGAGCAGGAGGCTCTTCTTGCTCCTCAGGGTGGAGCTGATCTCCTCACACACTCCTCTCAGCTCGCTGCACTTCGGCCTGATGGAGTCCTCAGCATAGTGGGAGTTTTCTATCAGCCGGTCACCTTCACCGGCCAGGGACAATGCGTGGTCTAGTGCGTCCTTTAGAAACACATGATCAGAATATACTTTAGGATACAGGGACAACATCAGTGGACGATCAATCTATCACAGCCTTCACATGTCCTCTAAGCAGAGTGGAGTGTTCATTACTTAATGCTGCACGGAGGGGGACATTTACTGTAGTCGTAATTGCAAAGTAGGTCGTTAACACCTATATCAGTTTGTTTTTTCCACATAAGAAAATGTACCATATGCTAAAAATGCAAAGCAGAATCTTTAAATTGTAAAGGTTTTATTTTTATAAATACGTGATATTATGAAACATCATAAGGTGCTAAAAATGAATGGTTACATCATAGCTGAGGTTGAAACGAAAAGGCTATTATATTTTAGTCCAATCCACACGCCCACACAGGTGCCACCTCTACATTTCACAGTCTTTCACACAGCTATTCCCAGAGAGGGGGATAAAGCAGGGCATATCATTGATTATATAATCAGCCGTATGGCTTAAAGGATGCATCAAAGGTAAAAGTGTTGAGCTTGTGTTTTCTGTCCCACGTGAGCTGCATTATGACATGAGTTGTGTGTGAGTGTGTGAGTGTGTGTGTGTGTGTCTTACACAGGCTTTGTCCTCATGTCCGCTGAGCTCTCGGAGGACGTGCTCAGCGTGGGCGGGGCTTACACTGACTTCAGAGAAACCAGACAACCGCTCCGATGTCACGTCGAGCTGAGTGCGCACCTACAGACACGCACATGTTATAAGAGCACACATTTCCTGACTTGTTTCTGCAAAACTACACTTCCCATAATTCCACTCACTTCACGGAAGTGCTTCTCGAAGTGGCGCAGCTGTAAGCATTGCTCCAGCTTGGTGCGGTGACGCTCCCAGAAGTCATCGAAGGCTGTTTCTGTTTCATCCAGCTGACCCAGGAGTCTGAGGGGAAAGAGGGAGGATTTAATGATGCGTTCAGGGACCACTTCTTTATCTATGTATGTTTCCATTCATCTCTTCCTCTACCTCTGTACAGTGGCTAAGTTTTCCAGTTCATCATAGGTCATGTTGTATTCAGGGTCGGTCTGCAGAGGCTCGTTTATACACTCCAGCAGGCGCCCCCCTTGAGACAGCGCCACCTGTAGGTCCTCCTAGAAATCAAACAAATTATATTTGTTAACAATTCTGCAACAAACAAAATCACCCCAAATATATATACATGAAAATTAACAAAATCAGAGAAAGAAGGAAAACAAAGAGGGACATCTGGTTGGTTGACATGTAAATCTGACCTTCATTTTGTCCTTCTTCTGAGAGTGTGTGTGCAGCAGGGCGGTGGTGGCTTCGGTATCGTTGGGTAATTCTGTCTCTGCGAGCTCAGTGCCAAACGCCTGCAGAGTCTGCGCCGTGGTCTTCACCATCAGAGCGAAGGCCTCGATTGCCTGTGGAGGAGATGTTCAGGTGCCGATAAATACAGGTTTAAGTCTCTGATTGACACAGTTTGAATCCCAGCCTGCTCCCTTTAGGCTTTTGATCGTCTATTCATTTATATATTATTTTAAAAAGATGTGTGTGTGTGTGTGTGTGTGTGTGTGTGTGTGTGTGTGTGTGTGTGTGTGTGCGCGTACAGTGCGGTGTGAGATCCAGCTTTCATGGGAGTACTCCTGCGTTCCTCCCAGCTCTGTGGTCAGTTGTCCCGGGTCGATATAGGCATGGAGCTCAGTCACTGAACTCAGCATCACCACCTTAAAAAAAACACACAATCCACGGATCATAAGGCACGGCATGTTCTCATAAATCAAAAAAAGAAAAGAAGCAAAGACAGACGTGTCATACCTTCATTTTGAACTCATCCCTGTTGTACTTGAACAGGAAGTCTGACAGAGTCCTCTGGAACAAAGTCGTCGGACGCAACACCAGAACCAAGTATAAGTTCCCTGGAAATGAACCCTGAGAGAGAAAAATGAGAGGGAGAAGAGTTTTAGTAATCTATTCATATGTATGTCTTTTAATTTTATAGAAAATGATGTGGTAAAACAAGATCAAGTGGAGTGACATGCATCCATTTATATTTTGGAATCAGGTCTTCACTGCTACTAGCCACAGATGCCATATCTGATTTGATTAAGTGGGTTATTTATTTTTCTGCAGCAGAGGTATGAAGTAAGCCCACTTGTGTAGCAGCTCCCTCTGCTGCAGTCCTGAACATCCACTCAATCGGCTACAAATCTTCACAGTTGTTCCCTTGTTGCACTTTCCATCTTTCAATCTGTCACGACAAGGTAAATTAGTCCTGTGGTTTAGGGAGTAACCGCCGCCCCCGTCTCTCCGCCTCCACACATTAACAGGTTAAGAGCGGGGAATTGCCTTCACACAGACAACAGCCCAAGAGGCCACTCAGCTGAAAGGCTGTACGGTTATTAGTCTTCCTCTAAAACCCTGGGTGAATTGCTCCACCCTGTTAGGCATCATAAATCGATGTAGGGTGACATGTTCTCACACACACACACACACACACACACGCCGAGAGATGTTTAATTCAATTGTACAAACATACCTGCAGTCAAACAGAGGCCAACATACATCATAGCCATGAAATGCCTGCACAGCGTTGCCATGGAAACGCACAGAGCGAGATGGAGAGTGCATTATGGGATGAGAGTGATGATACAGAGGAAAGCGAAAAATAGGAACAAGATAGGAACTGATGTCTGTTTCTGTGAAGGAGGAGTCATATGAAAGTGGTGCTGCAGCTCCACTCGTTTATTTTTGACACACACACACACACACACACACACACACACACACACACACAACACACACACACACACACACAACACCACACACACACACACACACACACAACACACACACACACCACACACAACACACCACACACACACACACACACACACACACACACACACACACACACACACACACACACACACACACACACACACACACACACACACACACACACACACACACACACACACACACACACACACACAACACACACACACAACACACCATTATTCTTATTACACACACACAGTGAGTGTTGATGAAAGATTCATCGGTTTTCATCATCTCCAATTTCCATCCAAACTGACAGCATATTTTAGATTACACCACATGAGCTCTCATTATCACCTGCAGTTTAAACGTTAGTTAAGATTAAAATGTAACTAATAAGTAGAATAATCGTAATTTAGCCCTTTCGAAATATTAAATGTATTGTTATTCTACCAATAACACACCATACAAATCACAACAAGCAATACGCCTGTAATCGGAATCAATTTAATTCAATAAACCCTGAGAGGTCATGGTTTAATTTGTGCCTCTGCATTACCATGATAATACACAATCTGCTCAGTGCATCCCCCCCGACAGATGAACACAGACATGCTGCTGAGCACACATACACACATCCCCTGAATACACACACACTTCTCACAGATGAAAAGAAGCACACATAAATAAATGATTAGGGATTAGAATATCATTTTCTGTTGACCAGGGTGATTTATATTCATCCAGGGAGGCATGTCCACTAATGACATCCATATTGTTCTCCTGGGAGTTGGATAGCGCCCGCATCAAACCCAATAGTCAAACCCCCTCTGCTTATATGCCTGCTTTTGGACATGAAAGTGTCACATTATGACAAAGAGAAAGACAAACGCTGCAAACGGCTTTCTATCGTAAAAACACAAGCCTTCTTCTTGCACCAGGTGATAGAGCTGTCTCTCTTACAACCCTGCAGCAATGTTGTTCATGCTTCAATGACCGCATATTTATTTATCTAAATCGCAAAGACAGGCTGCAACAGAATCCTCATATAACTGCAAAAGCATGTGGATTCAACCCTGTTTCCTAAAATAAAACTAAAATATTTAATAAGAACATCACAATTAAGTGAAAACATGTGTTGCTTATTCCATGGTGGCTATAAACAAGTGGTCTGAGTCCATCCTTTACGTAGCAAATCACTGTGTACAAGATTACAGGCACATGGTGAGCATCTGTGCGTGTGCCATACAATAATCTGTTTACATGACAATACTGGCCAGTCCTTTCTTTCTCTTTTTTTTAATCTGGAAAGGAACCAGCAAATGGCAGCGGGCGACCTTGAGCAGCCTTGATCAGCAGTACGCCTCACGGGAAGACGAACGACCTTCTTTCTCCAGTAAGGCTGTGTGTGTCATTGGCTGGTGGACAAAGCAGGCGGTGCCCGAAGAGGACTTCCACGCCTGGGGATAAAAGTGTGGGGTCTGAGGAGGAGAGCACCACCTGCTCTTCATGCCTTCAGGTTATAACGCTGCCTTCTATCATGGACACAATCCTGCTCAAGGAAACCTGCAAATAATCTATGTTTTTGAATGGGACTTATATTAAAGGGGACATATATTATTCTCCTTTTCAGACTACTAACCTTCTGTCTGAGAAGCTCTGTTTTCACAGCTGTCACTTTCAGCCAAATCTGCTGTTATTGGTCAGAATAGGAAATCTGCTTACATGCAAATTAACTACCTGTCTCTCAATATAGGGTTTAAGTCTGGGAAGGAAAGGGTGTTATTTTATCTTAGCGTTATAATTATATATATTTTTTACATTTCACTAGTTTTATTGTCATCAAGTAAAAACATTGGGCTTAAATGGGCCAACTAGGGTTCTTGTGAATAATAATTAGATATTTTATTTGCTGAATCAAATTACATTTCTCTTGTTTTTATTTCTTTAAAACAGAGAGACAATCCCTGATTGGTTCCCTGCTATCAGTGCAGCCCAGAGTCCATCAACGTCCCTTTCAAAGACATGGACTGAGCCAATAGACTGGAATAGGATAATAAACCTGGAATGGTCCATTATTATTGGCGGGGGAGTGTGTTCACTGTGCAGCTGAGTGTGTGTGAGTTTATGTGTGTGTGTGTGCAGGTTAAAGTGACTTGGTGGAGTCATTATGAAGGAAGGAGCTTCATAATGGTTTATTGTTACAGTGGGGATAGTTTCTCAGAAATGCCATGGAAAGACCATTAGATTCGATTATAATCAGTGTGTGATTAGCATATATTAGCATACATCTGCATATATTGGACATGCTTAGGGGTGTAATACAAGAAAAGCATCTTAACAACAGATGTGCAGGGTGTGGTGAGCTGGTTAATTATGGTTCGAAGAGGGTATAGAGGACACTTTAGGAGCAGTGGCGGCCGGTCCATAGGGGTGCCGCCCCCCCTCTTCCCACATGTTTGATTGTCATTAAAAATTAAAATAAATATTTAAAAAAAAATATATATATTTTTTTTTAATGAACAAGGTAAATATTATATAGATGGTATCAGTAAAATGTATAATCTACAATAAAATCTTGTTTAAAATTGTTTTACGATATCTAAAGTTACTGATAAGTCACATGTTTCCTGGCCGCAGCGTGTATCATTACCCTCTCTCGTCCGGGCGGGAGAAAGGAGCCCTCAGCCAGAGCAGCAGCAGCCAACAAGCTGACTGTTGCTATCTGTAAACTATGCCGCCGAAACATAATTTCAGCCAATCAGCGTCGTCAGATCTGATGTTCAAAGGGCGCCGTGTCAGCGCCCTGGCCTGTACGTCTGTGAGTTGTTTGGACTCGTATCCAAGGTGACGCTACAGTATAGTCGAGGATGGCTGCGTCTGCAGGTGGAGACTCCGGTGCAAGTGGATCGCCGGAGCTGTAGATTAACATTGACATGCTTATTGTAGTTGTAAGGGCAATGCCTGTAGCACCATGGAGCTATGTGTGGGCTGGACCTGTGTTTTACAGGAAAGGAGTGAGCAGAGGGTCGAGTTGTCGATTCTTGTTCAGTTTTCATCTTCCTCACCCTCTCAAACTTTGAGTTGCGCGTGCTAAAGAGACGCGCTACCATGAAAACCAAACAATGGTGTAGCTGTATTAAAGTCCGAGTGGAAACTGTCGTGAGTAAATCTGATTTTGTCAGAAATCGGGAGAAATGCGGGAAAAATATGAACCTGGGAGGAAACCGGGAGAGGGCAATGAAATCGGGAGTCTCCCGCGAAAATCGGGAGGGTTGGCAAGTATGACGCGACACACACACACACACACACACACACACACACAGTATTTAGTCTCCTGATTTTAAAGTGTTCCCAAAGCACCAGTGTTCTGCAGTTTGTGTGGGCCTCCTGTACTGTTGCACAGTTTATGAAGATTCATAGCTAACCACACTGAAGATTATGGATTATCTCTTATATATATTTTTAAGCCTCAATTTGTCCCCCCCCCCTCTAACATCACCAGAACTCATAATTTAAGGGGTCGTTTCTCAAAAATGTCTTCCGGGGGAGGATCCCCCGGACCGCCCTAGTACGGTTTGGTCCCTATTTCCATAGCCCCACCAAAAATATGTTCCACCAGCCGCCACTGTTTAGGAGGCTGTTGGAGGGAGTTTAAACTCAAATATATCACAAAGGCAGTCTGGTAGCCTCACCCTAACCACACTTTATTTGACCATTTCTTTTTATTTTATGAATCTTTCATACTAAGGTTGTCAGAGAGCAGCAACTTTGATTCTCAAGTCTGTCTGATGTAAATCAACGTCTCCACTGCTCAGACTCGCTGACGATTTACTTTCCTGTTCACAATTCTCTTTCCTCTGTTCCTCTTTCCCCGGATCCCTCCTCTGTCCCTCTATGCTGCTTCTTCAATTCATCATCTCAGCGAGGGGTCAAAGTTTCACACTGCTCAAGAAAAAATAGGCTACTAGGCTAACGGCACTGTTACTGAATCAGACTAATGGCTCACACAGTTTGGATGTCCACATCTAACAGGACTGCATCTCATCCCACACACACTGTGTTCACACGTTGTGAGACTCCACCACCCACTCTAGCATAATAATACGCTATTTTTAACCCCCACCCTGCTGCTTCATATCAACATATTCTACCGTACAGGAAAACACACACATACATAATGTACAGTTTGTACAAGCTAGCAAACTGAAGAGCAACACATCCATTACTCTAAGTGGTGACAAACCAAATTACACACACACACAGCTAACACCAGCAACTACAGACCGCAGATCTGTGTTTAAACAAGCATTACCAGAGTAGAGTGATGCACACACCAAAACAGCCATTTGTAGTCATCAGTTGGACATCATCAGCAAATGATGCACACAAACAAACACACACTTACTGCGATGCGGAGCAGGGTAGCCCTGACGGCAGCCCATCGGTCCAGTCGCCTGTCGATAACCAGGATGAAACCCACTCCTGATGCTGCAACGCTGCGGGAGAGAACACAGTGTTATTACACAAGAGAAAACACTTCTTATATATGTGTGCGTTTGTATGCAGGTTTATATCTAGCCTTTAACAGTTGTTAGACAAGTCAAGGAGAGGATTGAGGAATATCAATCAAGCGTTATCCTTATCATAACCGACACATAAAAGCATAAATCAAATTATATAAAAATGACTCGATTTCACTGGTCTTCATGAGAGCAGGATATATTATTTGGGTATTAAAAAGCAATGCTGCAAAAGGTTATATCTTTTTAATTTTTTGGCACAACTGTCTGTCGCAATCATCTGTCATCAGTGATGATTATGAGAGACCCTTGTGATTACCATGGCAACCTTGGCTCTCTGATGATGTGTGTGTATGTGAAAATCTTGCCATTCATTCCACAGGCACTGCCATATGTAGCAACCTCATTAAGCTAGTGTGTGTGTGTGTGTGTGTGTGTGTGTGTGTGTGTGTGTGTGTGTGTGTGTGTGTGTGTGTGTGTGTGTGTGTGTGTGTGTGTGTGTGTGTGTGTGTGTGTGTGTGTGTGTGTCAGTATGCATGTGTGTGAATGCAGTATTTCCGGCACAGGTCCTGCTGGACAAATTGACATGCATCCTGACACCTAAACACACAAGTAAAACACACACACACACACAAACACACACACAGGGCCAACACTGCTGAGGTGGTCCATCTGGTCATTATTATTAGCCAAATGTCATCGTCACACACAGATATATTCAGTCAAATGTACACACTAGACTACCCAGAGAACGCTGCGGCATCAAATCCTCAATCCATCTCTACTGGAAAAAATATTCAAAACCATATGAATGGAGCTGGCGGAGGAAAATCTTGGCATTCAATGACACACAGAAAAAAATCCCTTAATATCCCATTGTTAGCATCCAATAATAATCCATTCCTCCTCAATGTTATTCCGTTGTTGTCAGTGTCATATTCCTGCATCCACAATCATTTGTTTGCAGCTTGCGGATGGAAAGAGGTGACCGCTCACATCCTTAAAGAGCATCTCCCTCCTCCTTCCCCTTCTCCCTCTGCTCCTCCACCACCTGCCTCTCATCCTCAGCCAATCAAAACCCAACCCTGCATCTTGCTGTTCTGCCACAGCCAATCAGAGCGCAGTGTGCAGCCGATTGGCAGCAGGGTGCAAATAGCTAGTGGGGAGAAAGGGAGGGGACTCAGAGGGAGGGGGGTGGGATATGAAAGGTGATGAGCCACAAAAAAAAAAAGGCCGCGGCGCCATGACACACACTAGTAGATTTGTGTATAAGTGCATACATCTCCATCTATTCTCCTCCCCTTAATGATGTGTGTGTATGCATGAGTGTGTGTGTGAGAGGAGTGCAGCGCTCAGCAGTAACGGAGAGGTTAAAGAAAGGGGAGGGAGAGGGAGGAGGGAATAAAGGAGAAAGGGCAGGGAGAAGAAAAGACATGTATATGATGATTTGAGTTCAATTATAATGAACTAATGGTGTTAGATAAACCAACATCTAAATGATTGTATTGGATTATTGTGGTAGTTTGTTTTGAACAAAAATCCATCCAAATCATCTGATTTTAAGCGGGCGATTTTTCTTCCTTTTTGCAAATCATAAATGTTTTATTCCCTAGTCTTTCATTCTGAAAAATGTTCTCCTGCAGTCGTCCATTATTTCTTTTTTTATTTATTTCCTGGCGCTATCCTTGTGGCAGCAGGCGGTTAGTATTGTGCTGACATCTCTTGGCTCCATGAGGTATTGCACCTGCACAAATTGGCCAGATTTTCCTCACTGTTTGTGTGTTGTCAAACCCAATTAGGCTGCATAAAATATGGTGTGTGTTAGTGTGTGTGTGTGTGTGTGTGTGTGTGTGTGTGTGTGTGTGTGTGTGTGTGTGTGTGTGTGTGTGTGTGTGTGTGTGTGTGTGTGTGTGTGTGTGTGATGCTAACCTGGGGACGCTGCTGAGGTAGCCGAGGACATTTTGGACTTCCTCCTCCTCCAGCTCGCTGAAGTCTGGGAACTCTGGTAAGACGATGATGGGGTTGCCATTCATCCCGCGGCCCCCTGGAGACGCAAAGGTCAGGGAGACAGAAACAGACAGGTACATATTGAAGGTAGCTCCCAATTAAAGATCAAACAAGTGAAAAATATTGCATTTATTGCCCTTTTTTGTAGCTGTATCATCAGTTTAGAAACATGGGCGTTAGTCTCTCTGAATTGTTTTGTTTTCATGGATTTTAACGTCTGTAAAATCCCAAATAGGTGTCCTGGAACTTATTAAAAATCACTTATGACCATACAAAGACAAAATAATCAAATCAAAAGGGCCTCACACACACATTATAGAGGCCTTCTCTATCGTTGGTGGGTCAAGTTGCAAAGCAGATCATCGCGGTGATGAATTATTCACATGCCGTCACTCGCCAGGCATTTTCGTCATGGTAACCCAACACAGGGCCCTAAGTGTGTGTTTCTGTGTGTGTGCATACGCTTTTCTATGTGAGCGGTTGCTTGTGAGAAGATTTAAATTAAAAGTTTTCATGAGAACTTTAGGTTGCAAGGTCGTTTTCTTTTTACAGCATGTGTGTGATGACAAAAGTACAAATAAAGCAATTCAACTAGAAAGAAATAATCCGAACAAAAACTAAACTTTAAATTGTGTGAGAAGCGACACATCTTTCGCAATGAAATGCAAGCCACATAGAAACAGGTTCAGACAAAATTGGCTATAATAATCTTTTAAATGATGCCACTTTAAAGTCTGCAGACTGAGCTTAAATTGAGCTATTTCTGGAATCTGGATGACAAATCGGTGTTAAATGTGCCATCAAAGACACACACTCACTTGAAGCTATAGTCACAGCAGCATGCAAACAAGGCGTTGAAAATACTTTGAGAATGAAATATTTTTTAAATCGTATTGGGGCCTGGCATAAGGGTCAACAATAAAGTCTAACTTGAGTACAGTATCTTCCCATGTTATTGAACAAAATGCAAGAAAAACAAAACCTCCTCCTCGTAATGTATTCCCTTAGTCCAACTCTTGCATTATGTTAATAACCCTAATGTGATCTATCCTTAAATAAAACCCACTTCACTTTACTCGATTGTGTTTTTGCACCGACAACCCAATTCTCTAATCTAATCTAATCTAATCTAATCCATGCTGCCTATTTGGAAAAAGACCTTGCTGGGGTTACTAGTTAAACCTGAACTCTACTTCGCTTTTACTCTAACATAATAACTCAACAGTAAAACATTGTTTTGTTTAATTGCATTTAATAAGCTCATCTAATTCTAATGTCACTAGTAGAAAGAAAGCTGTCACTGAATTGGATTATTTGAGAATCTCTTGCAAGCCCTTAGCCCTACTGTACAATTACACGAGAACAACAGATCATATGTAAAGGAGGCTGTGGCTCAGTGGATAGTATTATGGACTTCAAATCAGTTCTAGTCCCACTGCAGTCAGCATGTCGCTGTGTCCCTGGGACACTTCACCCATAATTTCTCCTGTGGGGATTGTCCACAGTACTGAGTGTATGCAAGTCGCTTTGGATAAAAGCGTCTAACAAATGACATGTAATGTGTAAACTGTATTTAGTTCCTGTAATGCCCCTACATATGTATAAAGGTCAGGAGGGACAGCAATGAAACCCACCTGGTAGGATGGCAAACTGTTTCTGGAGTTCAGAGCCGATTTCTGCCGCACACAGAGTGCCATCCTGAGTCTGCAGGATGTCATCTGGAGAAAAGGACAGAGAGCAGAAGTTTATTAGATGCTAATGTCCCCACACATAAAACTCGTCATTATTACCACTCTGTAAAGTTTGCGGATAGTAATATTGCGCTTGGCTAACCATTGCAGTTTAAAATCAGGCTGTGGGTAATGTGTTGTGGCTGATGTGCAGAAATAGAGCCAATCATCCAGTGTGACTATTATGTTCCTTACAGCCAACAGCTGACCTTTAGTATCAAAGCAAATTCAATCAAGTGTATATAATATAAATGTGTTGTCCAACTATGTAGCAATCACTGGCTCGATAACCATTCCCAGCCTTGTTGTTACACAGAAATATCCGTCTAAAATCCAATTAAAAAACGTTATTGTCATACAAATGCCAAATAGCTACAGTGTAGTTGCTGGATATGAAAATCTGAGACTATATTCATTCCAGGACTAATTCATTTGTTGTTTTTTCTTATGGTCTCATCGGCTGGAAACAAGCAAAGGAAGGGGAAGAAATCCAGAAAGATGGTCATGAGTCGCAGAGCCACATAAGAATTTAAAGAGAGGAGAAAGCGATGTTAACTGGGATTGGATTTGCTCCTCTCTCTGGCCATGATGGATTATAGTAATCTCATTTACCCTCTGAGACATGTGCAGACGTAAAAATATACAGATATAGAAAAATAAACCCCCTCCTCTATCCATTTGGATGTCAAACACAAGGACAAGAATTGTGTACAATCGTGTGAATAAAACTGTCATGTTAGCGTGTGTAAAGGAGCCTCACTGTGAAGTCTGTCTGTGTGTGTGTGTGTGTGTGTGTGTGTGTGTGTGTGTGTGTGTGTGTGTGTGTGTGTGTGTGTGTGTGTGTGTGTGTGTGTGTGTGTGTGTGTGTGTGTGTGTGTTTGGGCATATAGACAAAGGCTGGCACTGAGAGTGGTGTGAGGGTATTGTGGCAAGGTTTCCAAGCAGTATGGTCGGACTGGCAGCGAGAGGCATTAATTATCATCTAAGTGCAAACCGAGCAAACTGTTCATATTTATAACAAATAAATAAATAAGTGAATAAAAAAGAGAGCCTACGACAACTGCACCGTTTTGCAGGATATAGCTGTAATTGTTGTGAAAAAAAACATTAAGAAAAGACTAATCGACAGACCTTCTATACCTAAATATTTTTTTTTAAAACCTTGTCTGTGTTTTCTTACTGTTATTTCACTTTGGCTTCACTGTGCAGGGTGATGTCTGTTCAGGCTGTTTTCATAGCATCCCCCAATAAATATGTGTTAAAAGATACTCCGAGGACACTGCTCCATTTGATGAAGAAACCTGACAGATTAAGAGCTTAGATCCTCAGTAATGCTACATGCAGTGTGTCAGCACAACAATGGCTAGACAGTGACTCACACTGTAAAGGTCCCATGTGTCGTCCGTAAAGCAACGTGTGTGAGAGTGCAGCTGGTTACCATTACACAGCAAATACATGTAGCTGTGGGCAGGCTGGAATACACACACACACACACACACACACACACACACACACACACACACACACACACACACACACACACACACACACACACACACACACACACACACACACACACACACACACACACACACACACACACACACACACACACACACACACACACACACACACACACACACACACACACACACACACACACACCACACACACACACACACACACACACACACACACACACACACACACACACACACACACACACACACACACACACACACACACACACACCACACCACACACACACACACCACACAGGGAATTACTCCTGATTTTAGGGGATTATCTTAAAGGTCCCATGTCATGCTTTTCTGGTTATCACCCGTCCCCTTGTGTGTCATGTAGCTTGTTCTGCATGTAAACGGTCTGCAGTCACAAACCCTCAAAGTACACCCTGTAGCGAGTAAAACTCTAACACAGAGAAGACCTGTCTATGCTGCCCCAGAACGCCTCGTTGGACATTTCTCTTTTTCCATTGTTTGCTTCTTGGGTATAGTGACGTATTTGGGTATAGTGACGTTATGTTACGTCTGCGGAGCCGTGACGTTAAGTCCATGGATTGGTCCACACACACACTCAATCTTTTCTCAGCTGCAGCTCCGCCGATTTCTCCGCCTGAAACGGCGGGACGCGGCGAGGCTGTGAGTCGGTGTGCGAGAACACACACAAACTCCCAGGCTGCGGGTGTGCGTGTGTGCTCGGGCTGGTTTCGGGCTGGGTTTCGCTGTGTCTCGCTGTATCGCAGGCGGCCACTGGGCTCACAGGGAGGGGGGGGGGGGGGGCAGGAGCTCCAACAAGCCGTTTAGGACAGAGAGTGAATACACATACTTTATACAGAGATGCTGTATGAGAAACCAATGTGAGTTTGGAACATTGAACAATATAAATCTATTCTAGTAGACCTCAACAATGGATTATGATCAGTAGAAATGGCCATGACATGGGACCTTTAAGATGATAAACAGGGACAGCGTCTTACAGGAACACCCTGGACAAAACATAACACAGATAGAAAACACACATCTCTATCATCTCTTAAAGGAGAGGGCAGCAGGAAGAAAAGAAGAAGATGGGGACAATAAGGAAGTAAGGAAGGAAATAAGGACATGAGTCAGGGATTTAGAGAAGGAACTAAGACCCCGGCCACACGAGGACGAAAACGGCTAAACGCATAGGATTAACGCAAACGCAATCGCAAACAAGCTTCCGTCCACACGCAATAATTATCCGGATAGTGTCTGCCCACACGAGACCGCTCCGTTTAGCTCCAACCGCTGGAGAAGCTGCAGTACATATGCAGGAGCCTGTACGTGGCGCTGTAACTTCCTCCACAAAAGCAGCGAAGAAGCATGGTTGTCATGGTTGCCCTTCTGTTTATTCTCCGCGGTGGCGGTCGAGGGAACCGGGCAGAGTTTTTCTCCAGTCAACGTGTATTAAAGTTGAAATCTTCCGACAAAATTATAAAAGTGCCGGTCAAAGGTCTTCTTTGTTATTTATTGAGCTTTAAAACAAATGAATAATGACTCTATATAATATAATAATATAAATACACGGAGCCTCTCTTTTTCCTCCCTCTCTTCGGACAGCGCCAGTGTCTGTTTCATGCAGCAGCTGATCCAGTAATGAGTGACCCGGCCGACAGTAAAAATAAACATATTTATAACTAGTTTAGGTAGTTTGAGAGGTGTCTCCGTCCTGTCAGATTAGACTTCACTCGCGTTTATGTCCATATCGAGAGAAAGATAAATAATCTGAATTCAGTGTGCAGTTTACTTTGACGCGGGGGTGAGCAGCAGAGGTGGGGAGAGGCGGGGCTATTGCGCAATCATTATAAGAAAATGATCGTATAGGGCGCACACACGGAGCCGTTGGACCCCCCAGAGCGTTGCGTATGCCATTCTATCCACCTTGGGACCCGTTATCGTTTCCTCAGTCGTTTAGTGCCGTATTCGGTCGTCCTCGTGTGGCCGAACGGTCTATATGACACTAAACAGTAACGCAAACGGCCGTTTTCGTCCTCGTGTGGCCGGGGCATAAATCATCAGGCAAAAAGAGAACAGACTGAAAAGAGTCTAAAAGAGGACAGTTTTTAAGCAGGATACAGTTTAGACAGGTATTTAACAGGGCAGGTACACTTCTTCGACTAACAGACCACAAGTCTTCAAACAGAGTCCACCAGCTTCTAATTAACCCCAAACTCCGCCATTAGCAAAAACAACAAAGGAGGAAGACGAGGAAGGGAGGATGTGCTTTGAAAAATGTGAATACCTCTATAAAAACCCAATAGACAGTTTAAAAGAGATTGCGTTTGAGAAGTGTGTGAGCAAGTGTTGTCATATGTCAGCGGTGAGTGTTGCAGTGTGTCGTCGGGCCAGCTGTCAGTGTGTTGGGCAGAAAGCTCGGGTTAAACGTCTGGATAACAGCCAGCGCTCTGACTCGACTACGTGTGTTTTGAGTATAGCGAAAGGACACAACAAACACAATAGTATAATATACAATAAATTATTAAGATATATCTGGTTTTACTCCCCTTTTACAAAGTAGCCCTCGATATGTAAAAACCTATCTTTTTAATTAACTGTCTGACCCAGCAGGTACCATCACCATGGCTACCGTTAATTGCAGGTGGGAACACACAGCTGAATGAGATTAGCTAATTAGACCCTTCACCACCTTTACAGCTCGTTATACTCCTCAGGGTCCCTACAGGTTAAGCAAGTTAAGACTTTATTAAATGCCACTTAGAATGTCATTTAAGGCCAACTTAAATGTAAACATATTTTTCTTTTTTTTTAACATCGTTTACTTATAGTGGAGGTCAATTTAACCCAACTTTTTTGGGTTTTTTAGTTAAAAACATGGGGAAATCCCTTTAAATGTATAGAAGTTATCTTGTTTTTGATATCCTCTAATGCAAGAGACATTCTCAGCATTTGTTATACTTATTATAAGATTGATTAAACACATTTTGTCAGCAATTAAGGCCATTTCTATGATAAATAACACTTTTAATATTACAGGAAAATAACGCCTGTTTCAGCCTGTCTCTTGCCTTTATTATATATTTCCAATAAATCCAATCTAGGGTTTTTAAATGAAATGTATATATATAAATGATTGAAAAAGCAGGTTTGATCTCAAGTTGAACCAACTCTTCATGTGATTGTGGGTGAATGGTGCTCACATTTATCAGACATTCAGGCGTCAGGCTGCTTTTCACTGAAACTCCCAAAACTCCCTGCTTTGTCCCCATCGGATGAATGAAATTAAAGTATAGCGGCCGGGCTGCAAGTGAACCCCTTTACCCAACACACACACACACACACACACACACACACACTGGAAGTGGGGCAATGCAGCCAAACACAAATAGTGATTATGGGGGGCCTAGAAAGAATGTCCCCCCGCCTCCTTATACCCTTCCCCCAAACACCCCCTCACTATTTCATTCATCCTTTTTTCAGGGG